TCTACACCGAAGTCGGTTAGCGACGGCCGGGCTTCTCTATATAGTTCTCTTCAGATGTCTCTGCTTTTTCTTTCTCCTCAAAATCATTTGTTTGTCATCAGCTTGCCTTCCTGAGGGCTTCCCATCCTTTTGGGGTTCATTACCCTGGCAGAATTTCAGGCCAAAGGCTTCTGCCTAGACTTTGAAATCTACACTCCCACCATCTAGGGTACATGTCAGCTACTCCTCTCTTCCCCACCCCCATCACAAACTCGAAGATGACGTGATGACTTTCTTCCAAGGTTTCCTTCCATTCTTGACAGGTGCTTACTTAGCCTCTGTTCCATGCCTTCCAGGGACAGGGAGCTCATTACTCCTATATGGCTCATTCCACTTTGGGACAACTCTTAAGTCATTGTTGGGAAGTTTTTTCTTATATGTGAAATGAAATCTGTCTCTGTGGCTGCCAGCCAGTGGTACTGGTTGGGAGAGGATAGAGGTGGAGAGGTGTGACCCCAGGCTGGATGGGAGGAGAGACTGGTCGTGGTGGGTAAGCTTGGAAGCCTATGACTCCACTCGGCCCCTGGCCATTATCCAGCTCTCTGTTTTTCTGCACAGGCTCAGGTGACATGGACGGGTTGTCCAAGGTAAGGGAAGTACCCTGACTGCTTCTGATCTGGTGATGCTTTTGACCTCTGCCCTTTCCTTATGATCCCCTCCCCTCCAAGCAGGAGCACAGAATGGCCCATGGGGCCTCCTGGCCTCCTCCCTCTGCACCCTGGACTCCTTCCCCTCCAGTGTCCCTTGCTACTGGATAGACCACCCCCCATCATCTCCCTTCGATGGAATCCCCTTCTCCCTGCCCTCTCCAAGGCTGGGTGGGCCCCAGGGTGGGGAATGGGGATGGGGACCCACTGACCGGGGGGATCCCCCCACTCCCAGAACTCTCCGAACAACATGGCCGGCATGAGCAACCCCCCAGGCACCCCACGGGACGACGGCGAGATGGGCGGGACCTTCCTCAACCCCTTCCAGAGCGAAAGCGTAAGCGACCGTGCCAACCCTCCCCCCGCGTCGGGCAGGAGGGGCCTCGCGGGCAGGCCCAAGCGCGGTGGCCGGGGGGCCAGAGCAAGACCGTGACCGCCGGGCCGGGCCGAGGGGCACCAGGTGGGAGGGCCGGCCTCGGGCAACCCCTGTTCCTCCCTACCCCCACCCCTGCCCCTGGGTCTTCCTCTCTTCCTCCCCATGGGCACTGCCCACCTTCTGTGTCCCATCTTGGGCACTGCCTCCCTCCCAAAGGCACCAGTGCCCACCCCCTACCAGGGTGCCCAACTCCCGGGAGGTTTGGAACCCCTTTCCCCTGGGGGGATGGGAGGGAGAGAGGCAGAGAGGGGTAGCAGCAGAGCCACCAGGCTTGGACGCAGGGGACCTGGGTTTCAGCATCATCTCTACTAGCTTGGGCAAGTCCCCTGAGGCCGGGCTTCGTCTGTAAACTAAGGCAGCTCAAGCTTGTGCTACACACCGCAGGCTTGTTGGTGAGGAGCCCGCCCTTCGTATATCTGGCTTCCTCAGAACGAGGCCTGTTAGGGACCAGTCACGATTGGCCTCTGGTCAGGAAGGGGACGGTCTACACGAGCTCTCGGGTCCCTTGCAGCTGTGAATCCCTGTGATCCTGGCTGTTTCTCCCTAGGGTGGGACAGGAGGGGGGGCTCCTCTCCTTGGGACAGGAGCTGAGTCCCCCGCCCCGGCCCCCTCTCTTCTCTCCACAGTACTCACCCAGCTTGACCATGAGCGTGTGATGAAGACAGCACTACCCTCAGCCCTGGCCCCCTTGTAAGCTTGTGTATTTAAGGACCGGATACCCTTCTTCCCCATCTTCTCCCCATACACTTCCTTTCCCCGGCCCTCTCAGACCTCGCCCATAGGCACCCACTGGGGTGTCAGCATCTGGGCATCTGGGGCTGGCTCCCCCATCACCCCAACCTTGTGGCCTTCTGGACAAGCTGGGGGTGGTGGGGGGTGCTCTCGAACTCTTGACTGGGGTAGGGCAGCGAGTTGCCCCTCCCCGAAGTCAAGGCAACCCCAGTTGGTCTTCTGGGCCTGAGGAAGGGACAGGGGGATGGGAGGTGCCAGAGGTTGCTTCGGACATTTGGACAGAACGAGGAATGGGCTGGGCCATCCCTTCAGCCTGGGTCCACTCCTACCTTCTGACAGCCCCAAGGCCTGGGCCAGGGGAGGCTGAGGCTGCCCACCCTCTGCTGAAGGGCCCCCGGTTCGGGGGAAGGCAGAGCAGCCAGACCCTTTCAGGCCAGGGGCTGCTGCCCTCTTCACTTCGCAGCGCCCATCGGGGGCCTGCAGGCCTGACGTTCATGCACCAACAACTTTACTTTTATACCGCGAGGACCTCAGAGACAGACAGACGGACCGGAGTCCATTCCCCCAGCTGTACAGCCCTTCACCCCACTGGGGCGCCCCTGGCCCCAGGGCTGGGGCTCAGGCCGTGGGACCGGACATTCTAACTCCACTGCCGGGGCTGTCAAGAAGGAGCCATGGGAGGGGGTGGGGGGAGGGGGGGTACCTGCATCAATAAATGGAATTTGATTTTTTTTCATAACCCGTGCATGGCTCCTGTGTCCTTCCCCACTTCTCAAGTGTCCAGGCTAGTGGAGGTGGTACCCACCCCAGCTCCATAAAGGCTGGTACTGGAAATAGATCAAGAATGGATGCATAGGGGCAGCTAGGTGGTGCAGTGGATAGAGCACCAGCCCTGAAGTCAGGAGGACCTGAGTTCAAATTCGGCCTCAGACCAAACACTTGACACTTACTACCTGTGTGACCCTCGGCAAGTCACTTAAACCCAATTGCCTAAAAAAATTAAAAAAAAAAGTGGCTGCATAGCAGGGTGAGTCGTGCTGGGTGGTCCTGCATAGTCAGGTATCTGAAACTCACATAAATTCTGGTGTGGGGGAAGGAAGTGGAAATAGGCTCATAGATTTAGAACTGGGAGAAACCTTAAAAGCCATCAAGTCCAGCCCCCCTCCTCCCATTTTACATATAAGAAAACTGAGTCCCAGGGAGGCTATTTAATGTGCCTGGGATAACAGCTTGTGTCTAAGGTAGAATTTGAATTCAGGTCTTCTGCCCTTCAAACCTAGCACCCCACTGTCTAAGATGTCCTAACAGCGTCCAAGGGATGACCGTTCCGGACATGGTTGGGCAAATGAGATGGAGGACTTCAGGAAATGAGGGGTTTGAGAAGCTCTGGAGCTGGGAGGTCCGGGGGGGGGGTGCCAACAGACTGTGGTAGAGGAGCAGACTGTTAGCTGTGAGCCCAACTTACTTGAGGGAAAGAAGTGACCTAAAGAAGGAAAAGTCTAGAGGAGTTAGCAATGAAGATGGGCTGGATGGAGCAAACTTGGGGGAGGGGGTCCCAAAGGAATGCAGATCGGGAGAAGAAATATGGCATTGAGTCCAGAGAGGGCTGGGGGGGTGCAGCAAAGACACAAGAGCCGTGGACTAGTCTTTGAAAGGGCTGGCCTGCGGACGAGAGCCACGATTTGTTCTGGGTGGCACGGCCTAGAGCGTGGAAGACCCAAGTCTGAAACCAGCATCACATACTCGCTAGCCGTGACCCTGGGCAAATCACATCACCTCTGTTTGCCTCAGTTTCCTCACCTGTTAAATGGGGGAAATAATAGCACCTTCGTCTCCCAGGACTGTTGTGGGAATCCAGTGAGATAACTGTAAAGCACTTACCACAGTGCCCAGCACATAGTAGGTGCTTAGCAATTGTTATTATTCTGTGTGACCCTAGAAGGCAGAAGGAGAAGCAGTGGGGGTGGGAGGGGATGTTTCAGGGAGGTCGACTAAGGCTTCTTAAGAATGGGCTGCCTAGGGGCAGCTAGGTGGCACAGAGGATAGAGCACCGACCTTGAAGTCAGGAGGACCCAAGTTCAAATCCAGCCTCAGACCAAACACTTGATACTTACTAGCTGTGTGACCCTGGGCAAGTCACTTAACCCCCCCCCCAAAAAAGGGCTGCCTTCCAGAACAGCCTGGGTATGATGGCTGCCAAGACCCCTCCCGAGTCAGTGTTTTGTGATTCTATGAAAGATGACAGAGGGGATGGGAGAATTGAAGTGAGAGAGAAGGGGCAGCCAGCCTTGGGAGGGTGCTGTGCAATGGGATGTTTTCAGGAGAAAGCCAGGGTTTGCTGAGCACCAAAAGACTGGACGGATGACTGGGACAGAAGCAACTGTTTAGGGCAAAGGAGAATTCAATAGTGATAAAGGCAGCTTCCCAAAAGGCATCGGTGAGACGGAGGAAGAGGAGAGGACTGGAGACCTCTCTAGGCTAGGTACAGCTCTGTGCATGGGGCAGGCAAAGCTACACAGGGATCCATCTGGCGCAAGGGAGGCTCTCCTTAGGTGGCATCATCCTAGGCTTAATGAAGTGTTTGGAGGTGAATGAAACCAACCTCGGACGAATGAGACGGTTTCAGGGTCCTGGAAGATTGCCTGGGATAGGGCGGAGGCTGCCAGGCGAGGGTTGGGTCCCGGGGATGAGACTGCATAGGATGAAGTTATCTGGGGGTGGGATCAGCTAGAAGGGATCTTAGAAAGGACTGAGTCCAAACCCCTCATTTTACAGATGAGGAAACAGGTCAAATGACTTGCCCAAGGTCATATAGGGAGCAAGTGAAAGAGCCAGGGACCTGGGTCTCCAAATCCAATGCTTCGTGCGTTGTTCCAAGACGCCTCCCTGGGAGAGGTCATCCAGGGCAGATCTGTCTGTCTTTCCCTCTCTACCCTCCCTGGGGGCTGGCCATCCTGTCTCTTGGCCAGGAGAAGTTTACATTTCCTTTCTCCCCAGCACCACCCTGATGGAATCACAGAACCTAAGAGCTGGACACGACCTCCTTGGCTACCTAGGTCACAGAATGACAGAGGCAGGGTGAGGCTGGCTGTCCAGCCATCCAAGGTGGCCTCCAGGAAAAGAATCAGCCAAAGGCTTAGGGAAGATGCCGTTCTCATGCCAGATTTATTGCGATGGGAGAGGCTGGATTCACAGAGGCCTCGGTGGGCTAAGACTGGCAGGGATCATTGGTGACGATCCCAAGGCTGCTAGGAGGCAGGGGCATGCTGGGCACTGGCATGTGTGTGCCCATCGGCGCCACCCACATAACCATTGGGGGGGAAAGCTGCCGCCCCCTTCTTCTGGGGCACAGGGCAGGTGGGGGCTTCGGCACCCTCACGTCGAAACTCGCTGCTTACACGCTCCATCTTGTGCTCCAGCAACATGTGGTTCTGGGGGGCAAGACCCCACACACGCCCTGGGGGGATAGGAGGGATGCCATCAGCCCTGGCTAAGAAGACAGCCTCCCCCCACTCCTGCAGCCCAGTGCCCAGAGTAGTCCCTCCACCAGGCCCCGTGGGCTCTCACCTGAGAATGTTCTCTATGCAGCTTCTCTGCCGGAAGAGGGCATTGACCACGGGGGTGCCCGGGGGCACCATCGGGGCCTTGCAGAGAAAGCTAAGAATGGACAGCACCGAGTGGAAGTTCTGGAAGTGGGGGTCACTGTCGGTGCAGAAGGTGATGCGCTGGCACAGCTCCGTGAGGATCACTAGGTCCAGGATGATGGGGCTGGCCAGGAGGGAGTCCTGGGGGCACAGGGCAAAGGCACCGCTGGGCACACAAAGGGGGCGGAGGAGGGGCAGCCCAGCCCAGCATGCGGAGGGAAGGAGGGGCCCGCCTCCCAGGGCCCACCCACAGAGCCAACCCCTCTTACCCCGTACCTCACAAGTGTTATGAAGGACGATGGTGTTGGTGCCCCCGAGCATGATCTCTGATGTGTACTCATCCAGAGCTCGCTTGCTGTCCCCCACGTAAGGGACATATCTGATCACGACCTGGAAGGAAGTCAAACAGGAATGGTAACTTGGCCTGTCCATTTCAGTGTGAGAGGGGACACAGACATCATCATGACGTCACTTACAATGGGAGAGACAGTGTGGTGTAATGGTTAGAGGGCTAGCTCCATGACCAAATTTCTGGGGGGAAGCCAGGAGGACCTGGGTTCAGATCTCCTCTCTGACACCCACTGGCTCTGTGACCCACTAGCACAGTGCCTGGCACACAGCAGGCAATTACATCCATCCTGGCTGATTAGACAGATACATAGGGAGGGAGGGAGGGAGGTAGATTAGATAGATAGATAGATAGATAGATAGATAGATAGATAGACAGACAGACAGACAGATACATAGACAGACAGATCGTTAGATCAACAGACTGATAGATATAGCTATATAGATGTATATAGCTATATAGATATCTACACACAGATAGGTTTCAATCTATATGTAGCACTTTTTTTTTTAGGCAATTGGGGTTAAGTGACTTGCCCAGGGTCACACAGCTAATAAGTGTTAAGTGTTTGGTCTGAGGTCACATTTGAACTCAGGTCCTTCTGACTTCAGGGCCGGCGCTCTATCCACTGCGCCACCTAGCTGCCCCATATGTAGCACTTTTAAGGTTTGCAAAGTGCTTTACTATGTGATCTCATTTGATATTCACAATAACCCTGGGAGATAGGTGCTACAGATGAGGAAATTGAGGCTGAGGAAAGTTAAATGACTTGCCCAGGGTCACCCACCCATTGAACAAGAGGGGGAGGGGATTGTTTCACTCTTGTCTTTGTACCCTTGGAACGGTGCCTGGCACATTTAATAAACGCCTGCTGATGGATTGACTGATTAGAGCCTAGGTCTTCCCAACTTCAAGCTGAGTGTTCTAGGCACTGTCTCAGCTCTATATCATCTTTTGCTCCTGAACTCCCTGCCCCCTCCTCTCACTGATGGCCTTCTCTTGCTGAACCTCAGCTCCGGCTCCACCGTCCACTCCTCCTGGTTCCTTGCAGAATGAACGTTATTCAACCTCGGCCGGGCCCTCACTGCATCAAGGCAATCTTTTTATTCCTCCCTGATTTCCCTATCTCACTCCCCATAGAATCTATTTCTTTTCTCGAGACTCCCATATCACCCCTTTCTCCCTATTCTCTTAGCTGAGAACTCTGCCTCTTTACTGAGGAAACTGAGACCACTCGCAGGGAGCTCCCTTCTTTCCCCATCATATCCCACCCTCTCCTTCTCGCCAAAGCCAACCCCTCTGGACACACCTGCACTCCAGAAACATTCCCTTCATTCTTGCCTTCAGACTGCATCCTGAATAATCCTCCCCCCTAATCTTCAATCTCTGCCCATCAAATGGTTCCTTCCCAATACCTTACATGCCCTAGTCTCCCTCGTCCATACAAACCTTCACTCAATCCTACCGTTCTCTTCGGGCCTTGCCCCCCGCCCCCATCTCCCCTCCTTTTCTCAGTTAAGATCTTTGAGTAAGCTGTCTACAGTTGGTCGCTGCCCTTCTTCTCTCTCCTCTGCCCTTTCTAGACTGGCTTATGACCTCCAGCCTGAAGCTGCTCTGCCCAGAGGGGCAGAGGAGGAGAGAGACACATAATCAGATCCGAGATGAAGGAAAACTGGGTTAGCAGTCATGTATAGGATGAACCAGAGTAGGGAGAAGCTTGAGGAAGGGAGACCAGTTAGGAGGCTCTTGTAAATAAATACTATCATAGTTAGCATTTATAAAGCACCTACTGTGTGCCAGGTACTATGTTAAGTGCTTTACAGATATTAACATTATCCCCCTAAATGTGACTGGTTCCCTCAAGGCTCTGCCCTGGGCTCCCTCCTCTGTTCCTTCCCTGCTCCTCAGTGACTTCTTCCATCCCACGGTTTGGCCTCTTGTATAGATAACTCCAGACCCAGTCTACACCCAGCCCCAGTCTCTCTCCTAAGCTTCAGTCCTATACCACCAATTAAACTCATCGTGTCCACAGCAGAACTACTCCTCTTCCAAATTTCCTATTTGTCTTTTCATCTCCCAAGTACAAAACCGTGGCATTATCCCAAACCCCTCACTCTCTTTCACCCCACCCCCAATCTGCTCCCAAATCTGGCCATTTCTACTTCGATCCTTTCCCCTCTACTCATGCTGCTGCCACCTAAATTCAGGTCCTCATCACCTGTCCCCTAGATTATTGAAGCAGCTAGGTATTACAATGGCTACAGTGCCAGGCCTGGAGTCTGAAGACCCCAGTTCCAATCTGGCTTTAGATATGTACTAATTGCGTGACCTTGGTCAAGTCACTTACCTTTTGTCTGTCTCAGTTTCCCAACTGTAAAACAGAGATAACAGCGCCTACCTCCCAGGGTCATTGTAAGGATCTAAAAGTTAATATCTGTAAAGCACTTAACACAGTGCCCGCACACAGCAGGTGCTATATAAATGCTAACTATGATATTATTCATTTACAAGAGCCTCCTAACTGGTCTCCCTTCCTCAAGCTTCTCCCTACTCTGGTTCATCCTACACACGACTGCTGACCCACTTTTCCTTCATCTCGGATCTGATTATGTGTCTCTCTCCTCCTCCACCAACTTCTGTGGCTCCTCAGTGCCTTCCAGGATTAGATTTAAATGCCGCCTAGCTTTTGAAGACCTGTGCCACCTTTCTAGCCTAAGTGGGCCCTCCACAATCCTGTCACCTTAATCTTTTCTCTTTCTTCACACAAGGTACCGCGTCTCCCACCTTCACGCCTTTGCACTCACTGGCTGTCCCCCAGCCCTGGAAGGCATTCCATCCTTCCCTCCACCGCACAGAGCCAAGCACCACCTTCTACGTGCAGCCTTTCCCAGGCCACCCGTGCAAACGCCCTCCCTCCTTCCCTCCCCAAATCCCTCGTACTGAACTACTTTGTGCGTGTTCGTATTTATCACTTCATATTTATGCCGTATGTATATATTCATGTGCAGTTGTGCTGACCACCAACCCCCCCGCCCTGGTCCCTATCCCAATTAGGACATATACTCCTCAAAAACAGGCCTTGTTTCATTCTTTGCACTTGTATTCCAAGTTCCTGGCACACGGGGGGGGCGGTGATCAATCCACTGACGCTGCCAGTCACCATCATGCAGTTACCTAGACTGGGACCTGCCTGGACAGCATACCCACTCGAGCTCATGTGCACACACGCACACACACACACACACGCACACGCACAGGTCGCAGGTCTTACATGTACATGCACACACACACACACCGCTATCCACAGGGGGGCCCCAGTCCCTCGGACCCCCTCCCCCCAATGCTAGCCCACACGCATCAGCCCTGCGGCACAATCTCTACCATACGCACACAGTGGTCAGGCCCCTCCCCAGGGCCGTACAGCAGTGGGTTGCTCTGCACCATATCGTCCACGACGTTGCTCTTAGAGACCTCCTTGGAATGGAACTGCTTTGGGGCTGACAAATTCTGGCCATCATTGTTACCCAGGTGGTTGTAGCTAACGATGGACACCGTCTGCAATAAAGGGGGGGGGTGCCCAGGGAGACAGCTCTGTAAGTCTCTCCTCACTGCATTCCCATTGTCCATCCTCTCCACCATCCCCAACATCCCTCTGGAAACGGATGTGACCCATGGCTTGGTTCCCCACCCCATCATCACCCTCCATCATCCAAGGAAGCAAAAAGAGCCTTCAGGAGCCATGTGGACAGCCCAAAGTAAAGTTCTCGCTCTGCCACTGGCCTCGAAGGGAGGGTGAGTAACTTCTCCTCTTCTGGGTTTATTTCTTCAACTATAAACTATGGCTGGGTTTACACGATAGACCGTCTCCCCTCCGAGTCTGTATCCACCCTATGAGCTAAGGTCCCTTCCAGCTCTGACATTCTATGCTCTCTGTGCTAAGAGTCAGGTCTAGGGTTCAACGGTGACATTCTGCATTCTAGCAAAGACTTACCAATCCCTCTTACCTTCAGGCCGGCACTAATGAGGAAGTCAACAAGCACTGATTTGATCTTGGTTTGGCCAGACTTGAAGTCGTCTCCTCCGATGAAGACCCGTCTCTGCATGGCTAGCTCTATCGCACCTGGCACGAAGGTGTTCTGGGGAGCACCGTTGAGGTAGGCGCAGCCTTCCAGGATGCTGGCTACCGCAAACAGGGTAGAAGGGGACACCTCAAGGTCCCGCTGTTGGGAGCGGGAGAAAAAAAACCCAGAAAACATCAGAATGGAGAGGGTGCTCAGAACATGGAATGTCAGGACTTGGAGGGCCCTTAGAACACAGGATGTCCAGGCTGGTAGGATCCTTAGGATGTAGAAATTTCAGAGCTGTGGGAGGGACCTTAGGACATAGAATGTCAGAGTCAGAAGGAGAACACAGAATGTCAGGGCTGGGAGGGTCCTTAGAACGTGGAAGGGCAGGGCTAGGAGGGTCCTTAGAACATGGAACATCAGAGTTGGGAGGGACCTTAGAACATGGAATGTCAGGGCTGGGAAAAGCTTTCAAGATGGTTCACTACTCCTGGAAAACTAGACCTCAAAACACTACCCCCTTCAGGAAGTTTTCTCTGATAGATATTTCTCCCTCCCCACTTTAATAGACATTTTCCTAATTTTCCTAATTTTCCATTCTGGTGTCTTACCCCCTTTCTACATGTGCTGCATGAGGACAGGGGCCATATCTTTCCCTTTAAGACCTGAGTGCAGGGCTCTGTACATAGCGGATGCTCAGTGAATATTTGTTGAATGACTGAATGTGGACTGTCAGAGCTGGACATCTGAGATCACTGGATTCAACCTCCTCATTTTATGAGAGAAATGAGGTTTAAGAAGGGAAAAATATTTACCCAAGGCCAGACAGTGAGCCAATTAACCTGGGAACGTGGCACCAGAAGCCAGTTCTCCAGTTCCTCAGCCCATGGGTCCTTTAGCCACACCAGCAGCCTAAGCCAGGCTGTCCTAATGCCCACCCCAGACTTCCTGAGCCAGGCTGGTCCTCTCCCCCAGGACCTCTCAATGCTATGCCCACACCTCAATGGCATGAAGCAGGTTTTCAGCCGTGTCATTGAGCCCAGGCACCACATCACAGAAGCACTCGGTGTTGGCTGTCCACAAGACGATGACCTTGTCCACCCCACTGCTGGCCCGGAACTCACGGATGTCCCTGCGGATCTGCTCCAGCTATGGGGAGGAGTGTAACAGCTAGGCGTCACACAGGGTCCCCGCCAGCACCATCCCCACCTCGGCATTCCCCTGTTCCTTCCCAGAGCCCGGGCACCCACCTGCTGGGCCCGAGAGCCAAGAATGAGGTTATCTGCTCGGCTCTCCTGATTCGCTGCAATGAACTTGGGGATGTAGACCGAGGGCCGGGGCTGCAGCTGCTCCATATGGGGCCGCAGCTGTTCCTGCAGCGCCCAGTCCAGCACCTGTGCCCGCTTCATGGCCTCTGCCAGGTTCAGGGAAGAGATGTCCCAGCCTGAGAGGGCACCAGATAATGCTATCACTGTTCAGTTGGTGGTGTTCTCTCCCCACTCTACCCTCAAGCCAGGCTCATAGGGAAAGGACCATAGAACATAGAATGTTAAAGATGGGAGGGTTCTTAGAGCACAGAATGTCAGGGCTGGGAGGGCCCTTAGAGCACAGAATGTCAGGGCTGGGACGGCCCTTAGGACACAGAATGTCAGGGCTGGGACGGCCCTTAGGACACAGAATGTCAGGGCTGGGAGGGCCCTTAGGACACAGAATGTCAGGACTGGGAGGGCCCTTAGAACACAGAATATTAGGGCTGGGGTGGGGGGCTTACACAAATGAGGGGCTTGCATTTATGCCGTGTAGCATAATGAACAGGACACTGGAATTGGAGTTAGGATGGACCTGGGTTCAAATTCCACCTTAGACACTACCTAGCTGACTGAACTAGTGACCCCAGGGTCACTTTAAGCTTAAGTCACTTGACAACCTCTCTGGGCTTCAATTTGCTCATCTGTAAAATGACGGGGTTGGACGTGAGGCCTCTATTGCCCCCTCCAGCTCTCCATCTATGGTCCCACAATCTATGGTGTTCTTCTCAGCTCATGTTCTCTGTTCTCGAGCCTCTTCTAGCCCTGGTTCTGGGTTCTGTAATCTCAGAGCCACCAACTAGGTTAGCCTTAGCCCTCCATCTCTTAGTAAGAGAAGTGGGGTTTGGGAAGCCTCAGGGTCCTTGATTCTGATGCACTTGGATAAATGGACCATCGGGGTCACAGATTTAGAGCCAAAAAGAACCTGGTGAACCCTGTCATTTTACAGATGGGAACACTTAGGTCCAGACAGGTCCAAGGTCACCTAGGTAACAAGTGGCAGAGAGGGATTTAAGCCTGGGTCCTTGGTCTCCAATTCCAAAGCTGTTAGAGCTCAACAGGCCGCCTCCTGCAGGAGACAGACACTGTGGCCCAGGACATAAAAAGGACCAGTTCTTCCAGCCCCTCCACCTGGAGGAGGTCACAAGCAACTCTTTCCAAGGTCACAGTGGTAACTTGGGGGCAGAGCCTAGGCTAGAATCCAGACCTCCTGATTTCCCCTATACTAGGACTGCCCTCCAGATCCCTGCTGACATATCTGTCATCCCTGGGCCCTATGGTTTCCCACACCCACCTGCTCCTCCTAGTCCCATCCCCTCTTTACGTACCATCGAAGACAATGTCATTGGGCGAGACCATGGGCAGCAGGGCACGGAAGGGAACATGGGTATCTTGGCCATGGTCATCACTGCCCAGGCTTACTGTGGCAGCTTGCAGCAGAGAACCATAATAGTTGGCTTCCTATTGGCAGAGTGGGGCAGGGGGTGGGGTGGGGTGAGGGGTGGCTTGGAGCCCAGGTCCCCCCAAGTCCTGGTGCCCCACCCCTAGGCCTCCCAAGTCCTTGTCCCCCACCCTCTCAGCCCTCACCAGCTAAAGTTCTTACCTTCTTACCAGTCTTGGTCATCCAGGAGAGGTGAAGTCGGTTGGCCAACACGGCTGCTGTCACCGTGGAACCGTTGTTTCCACCCCATCCCACTAGCATGACCCCTAATCGGGGCACTCTCCGCTCAGTACGGAACGTAAAGTGGGCAGAAATAGGGTGCACCTATTGTGTGTGGGAGCAGGAGGAAAGTAGGGAGAGCTGAACATCCTTAGCCTATTGTAGGGCTCTGGCCCATCCTGACCTGGGCCACCTCCCTCCCTCACAACTCCATATATTTCTATATCCCTCCAAAGATCTAAGATATTTCTTCAACCCATCCCAGGATTCCCTGCCTCCCCCCACCCTCCACAACCTAGCCTAGAACTTCTTGGCTCTAGACCTGGAAACTGGCCCCCCCTCCCCATCCCTTTGGAATCCTACCTTTTCTCCCAGTTCATCCCAGGGTGCTCCTTGCTGTCCCCTATTTTCCCACAGCCCCTCCCAAAGGAACTCTGGGACTCATTGCCTAGTCGGGAAGAAGGCAGGTGGGAGGCAAAGGCCTCAAGGTACCTTAATATTGCCTCCATCCCGGCTGACCCGGGTTGTCTGGTACTTGTAGCCGGCCTGGATGAAGTCAGGCCCATAAGTGACATCTGGGCTCTCCACCACAAAGGTCTCTTCCATTTCTACTTTTGTCTCTGGGGTCCTGGGAGCTACCTGGGATATCAGGGGGACTGGAGCCTGCGGGGGGGGGGGATGAAACTGGCCTTATTCCAAGAGGACCCCAGCCTCCCTCCCAGCCCCACCCCTGCCCCTTCGAGACTGGCCTGTCCAGTCCTGCAATGGACGGGACAGGGTGACCCTGTCCTGGCAGGGCTGGGTACACTCGCACAAAGCAAGCTTGTTGGGTGGGCAGGATGGCGACTTGATTTGGTTCAGCCCAGCACCACTCCCCTACAAGGCAAAGGGCTTGGACAGGATGTTCTTTCTGGGGTATCCCTACGGCAGAACGCAGAGTTCGGTGCTTGGGGGTGGGGTTTGGGAGTGGGAAGAGAAGTCAGGCCACACCCCCCACAGGTTTGGGGGAGAGGGGGAGTGAACAGAGAAATGGAAGGAAAATGAGGAAGGGGGGAAAAGAGGAGTAGGGAGGAGGGAAGAGGAGGGAAAAGGAGAAAGAGGAGGGAAGAGGAGGGAGGAGGAAGAGGAGGGAAAAGGAAGGAAGAAGGAAGGAGGATGAGAGGAATGTGGAAGAGGAAGAGAGAGAGACAGAAGGGGAGAAAGGAAGGAAAAGAAGAAAAGGGGAAAGAGGAGAAAAAAGAGGAGAGACAGAAAGAGGAGGGAGAGAAAGAAAGAGGAGGTGGACGAAAGGGGGACTGCTGGGCGGCCGAGGTTCCGGCCTCCGGGGTCCCCCTGGTGGCTGGGGAAAGGTCTCCCCTGCCTGCCCGCGGCGGCTCCCACTCACCGGAAGGCTGGCGCAGCGGCGGTGGCGACGGCGGCGGCGACCTGGCTGGTGGCAGCTGGCCGAGCTGGGGACATGGGACGCGTAGGTCTCTGGGGTCCGGCTGGTGGGTGAGCGGGCGCGCGGGGGCGGCTCTAGCTCTGGGCCCAGGGGATAAAGGCGGCCAGCCCCGCCCCGGCCAGCTCCGCCCCGCCCCCAACCCCCTCCGTCCGAAACTTTCCATCGCCAAGCGGCTCCCATGGCCGGCCAGATACACCCTCGTCCCCAAATTTCCAATGCCTACTCCGGAATACGCCCAATTCCTAACACCACCATCAAGCTCCCCCTACACACACACACACACACACACACACACACACACACACACACACACACACACACACACACAGAGCTAGGGGCTCTCTAAATTCCCCATACCTTAGTTAAGTTGGGGGAGATGGGGCAGATGGAGACTGGACCTCACAGCTAACAAAGAAAAGAACACAAAACCTCGTGGTAGGGAGGAGGAACATTAGAGCAGAAAACCCGCAGCATTAAAGAACCGCCCCTATTTCACAACTGGGGAGAAGGGGGCCCAGAGATGGGAAGACATCTCATCAGGGGTCAAGCCCAACTAAACTATGTTGAATGTGTCCTCAAATTGGGGGGGGGTGAGCCCAGAAAACCTTGGCTTTTGGCTCAGTCGTGCTAGTGACTCACTGAGCTTGGGGGAGAAATTTGGGTCTAGTGTCCCCATATCCAAAATGTGAAAGCTGGACACCTGTGATGCCCCAAAGGTCCTCTTAGCTCTACATCCAGGTCATCTTCTGGGCCTGTTTCCCCATGTGCAAAATGCGGAGAATACCACCTACCTCTCAGAGTTGTTATAGGATACAAAGGAGACTGCAGGTATGGGAGGGGCAGAGGGGCAGACAGCCCAAGACCACAGTGTTGCTGAGTCTGCCCAGTGCTAGAGGGGAGGGAGAAGGACCATCAGCCCCCTCAGCTGTGCTGTATCAGCAGCTGATAACAGGCGTGAGAACCAGGCGCTCACAGGCAGCAACAGCGGATACTCTCACAGAAACAGGAGGTGGGGGCTCGCCTCTTGGAGCCATCCACCACCCATCTTCCGGAGAGCTTTGGAAAACAAATGGCCTTTGGGGCTAAAACTTTCCGTGCTGGCCCTGGGCCCAAAAGGTGGATTATTTTGGAAAGTCAGAAGGGTTGTGGAGGGAGGGGATGTAATTCAACATTTCATCCCAAAACAACAAACACTTATTAAGCACCAACTATGTATGTGCTAGGTGCCAGCCTCAGCCTTAAGAGAACCCGTGATTGCCGGAGGAGTGCAAAGAGGGAGGCAGCATCCATGGGAAGGGTTCTTCAGCTCCCGCGGTGAAAGCATCCTTTGGGCTTGGTGCCCAGGGAGAAGGCTTTATCTCCACTGAGCTGGGGGAGGGAGACATCCATCAGGCAAACCAGCTAAAACAGCTGAGCCTTCTTCAGCAGGCAGAGGACCCAACTCCTCCTCGGGGATATACTTGTGCCAACTTCTCCCTAACTGCAAGGAGTGCCTGGAATAAGACTGGCTTCCTCAATGCTCATTCATCAATCAGCTCATTTCGGAGAGCTGGGAGGGAATCTTAGAATACACATCAGAGCTGAAAAGGACCTTAAAATGTAGAATGTCAGCTGGGAAGGACCTTAGAAACACTGGATTTCAGAGGCAGAAGGGATCTTAGAACACAGAACACAGAACAACAGAGCTTAAAGGTACCTTAGAACACAGGAAGTCAGAATTGTAAAGAAACAAAAAAGAAAAAGAATAAAGACTATTGGGGTCAACTAGGTACCTTAGAAAACTAGCCCAACATTTTGTAGGTGAAAAAACTGAGGTCCCCAAAAGGAAGGGACTTGCTCAAGGCCACACAGCCTAAGCATAGATGTTATCCATAGCCTAGAATTGGACAGGACCACGCTGGTTCTAGGATTCAGGCTTATCTCTGAAATTTGGGATCTTTCAACAGCCTGCAAATGCCAAAGTGAGAGGAGGACAAATCTGGGAGAGGGGAGGAGACCTCCAGCTCTCATGTTGGTTCAGGCATTCAATGGTCAGGCTGGGGGGGTGGGGCAGGGAGCCCCTTTCATTTCCGGTCTGATCCTCACCACCCAGGATGGGATGGTAGCTCAGGGGCTAGGCAGGAAGTTGGTAAATTTCCACTGACAGAGCTTTCCTCCTCCAGCTGCCTGCTAATCTGTTCCCCCTCCCTGACCTTGTGGGGAGTTTGGCCCCATAAGTGTGAAGGAGCTGGGCCTCCAGGGCCCAGGGACTTCGGACCCACTCCTGGGCTAACCTAGCTCAGCTACCCTGCCCCCACTCAGGGCCTATGGAGGTTTTTAAGATTTTAAAAAAGGTGAACCCCAAGCCCATTCCTGTAAGGAAAGGCTGGAGCCTAACAGCCAAGACCACCTGAGGCCTCCCTTGGAGACAACCCATAAAATCCTAGGGATCAGTACAAAGCCAACTCCAAGGGACATGTCTGAATTAGCCCAACTCAGTAGGAGATGGAAACACCCCTAGAATGGCATTCAGGGATTGAATTAAGTCCAAATGCCTCAAAGCCTGGCTTTTGAGAACTTTGACCACCTACCTTTCCAGCCTTATCTCCCTCAGCCTCCCCTCCTTTGAGCTTTGGCTCAGGACAAACTGGACAAAACTCCCTCTGTACCCTGGAAACGGCCCCAAGCCTTTTCTCCACAGCTTTGCTTCTGTTTCCTTTGCCTGAAATGCCCCCTCACCCCCACCCCTCATCTTGGACTAACCAAATCCTCTCCAACCTTCAAAGTTCAGCTTTAATAGCCACCATTTCCAAGAAGGCTTCCCAATTCCTGCCCCTAATATGAGGATCATAGAATACCAGAAATTCAATGGACTTCAGAGATCAGGCTAACCTTTTTGATCAATGAAACTGAGGGCTAGATCGAGAGCTGCCCAAAGCCACACATCTAGCTTGGCTATCCCTCTTAACACGAATATGCCATGATTTCTAAAGAACTGAAAGGGCTCACAGAGGTCATCTGAAGGAACTTCTCACTGCGGCAGGAATGCTTTTGGGGGCAGGGAGGGGAAGGGGGATGGTATCCAGCCCCAGCTTAAATATCTCCAATTAAGGAGAGTTCAACCTCCCCCCCCAACAGCCTATCCCATTTTCCAATAGCTGTTTGCTAAGAAGGTGGGCCCTGAATATGTATGTGTGTCTACACACACACACACACACACACACACACACACACACACACACGTGTGTCCCAGTTCTGCTGTTTGGGGTAACGTACGAGTTTCATCAGCTTCAAGCCTCCTTTTCTAAGGGTTTTACAGAGGACCCCAGAATTGGGGCTGAGGAAGAAAGGAAGGCTATGATTTCTTCAAGAGACAAGAAGATTGCTGATCCTAAGTTTTCCCTGAGGCTCACCTGCACTCCACCTCCATTTAAGACCTCCAATCCCTAAAGCCAAGCTAGTACAATGGTGGTGGCAGTGGGAAAGGGAAAGCCATAGCATATTGGGTTGAGCAATCTGGCTGTGCTGTGCTCACCGACAATGGGACTCTGGGGGGCCTAGGCAGACAGCAAGGGCAAAGGTTAAGGTTTATGGAGGCAGGGTTAGTGCATGAAGATATTCGAGTTCTGGTCCTGGTCTGTCTTTGCCAGGTGCAAAAACAGTGACACTAAATACAAGTTACGGGATTTTTCTAAACCTGTTTGCTTCTATGTAAAAAGGAGAATTCCTGCAAGGCTTTCCCCTCAAGGGTCCTTGTGAGGAAACCACTTTGTAAGCAGTCAAGTGCAGGAAAATGGTAGCTATTTCTGGAAATTTCATCCTGGCTCTCCAGTGACCTTCCCCACTCCACCCCCAAAAAGTCTTTGGAACCACCCCCCCTTCCCCACCCAACCCCCAGCACTGGTAATTGAGTTTTTCATGTCTGGGCTGCTCTTATCCACTCCTAGCCCAACAAATCATTCCTGTGGCTTTTCTTAGAACTCCCTCTAGCTGGTTTCTTTGTGACCTCGAGCCTTGGCAGGAGGGAGCCCCACACTGGGCCCTGGGCAACAAGGAATTACTGAGCTGAGGGGTGCTAGAAGGCAGATACAATTAACCCTAGTGGCAAGACTGGCAGGAATAACAGGAAAGATTGAAAGAACTAGGGCCCAAGAAGGAAGCTTTGTCCGATCCTGAGAAAGGCTTGGAAGCCCCTGCTAGGAAGCAGGGCAGGCTGTGGGCTTAGATGACCTGGGTGCTAGCCTTGGTTTCATCCAATACCTTGTTCTATGCTCTCAGGTAAGTTACTCGTTTTCTGGGCCTTAGTTTTCCTCATCTATAAAATGAGGTTTGGATTAGATGCTTTCTAAGGTTCCGCTGCTGCTGACATCATGTTCAGATGCCCCTTCTAGATCTGATGTGCTGCATATATTTTCCCCCTTTGTTCTTAAAACTTCTGAATGGTCAGTTTGGGCCCAGAGCCATCTTTAGGTTGAGAAAGGAGTTTATGTCCTTTCAAGAGGCAAAAGACAACTGCTTTTGGCTCCAGAAGGGTGTTTAGGGAAGAGCTGACAGATTTCCCTACAGCGTTTTAAGTAAGAAACAAAACCACAACTTTTTCTCTTCCAATACAGTGAATTTTATTGTATGTTGCAAAATCAGCATTCACCTTTTCAGTGTACAAAAAGGACACTAGCTCTTTAAGAAAACATTAGGAAAGCTGAAGACTAGGCAGCCTTTCAATTGTAACATTTTGGCAAACTTGAAAGCTTTTGTAAACTCCAACTCCATGGCTCAAAATCTGTTTTCTCCACAGTACAATATTACAAAGTAGAAACACAGTATCAATAAGTTAGATCATACGGAATCACCTAGAACTGGTTTATATTAACCCAAATAGCACACATTTACTTAGCTTCATAATCCCTTAAAAGAAAAAAAAACCCATAAAAAGGCAGGTCTGACTACAATGTCTTGTGACAGTCTGAAAGAGAAATGAAGCAAGAGTCACTGAACGCTAACTGGGTCTCACAGTTTTGAATTCATTAAATATTTCTCTGTTTTATATTCCAATTCTCTAAGTTCCAGAATATACATGTACATGTATATGACAAATCTCTGTATACAACTCTGTCTGCAAAAATATCCTCACAGCAGATGCAGAAAGACGGATAAGGTCTCTTCCTATACGTTACCCACCCCACCGGCCCCCAACAGCAAATCAAAATTCCAAAGCCTGCTGAAGGGAGCGGGAGCGAATGCTGGTCAGTGTGCTTCCATGAAGAACCAAGAGCCACGTGGCGCAGGCTCTGAAGTGATCCAGGCAGTCTCAGGAAAGGGGGTGAGGGGGAAGAGAAGGGTGTAGGAACACTCCGGTCGACCTGTTTCCACCAAATGACACCAGCTCTTTGGAAGCAGTAGTTGGAAAAGATCCTCCCTGCCCCTGACTCCTCCCTAACAAGGTCAGTAGCAGCTGTCTGGAACCACCTGTCTTTACAACTTGTTTTGGCAGCAACCTCCCAAATGCCTATGGCTGGACACACCCTGACCTTGGCTGGGTACCTGAACATAAATCTTTCTTAAAGCCTGGGATGTGCCCTTTGGACACCCTACTGTAAACCCAAATATAGGCGTAATCTTTAAGTACCGTGCCCAGTGGGCAAGGCCCACCTAGCCACCGAAGGTTCTGCTCTAGGGGATGAACTTGGACACTGCTGGTACTACCAGTCAGACCTTATTATAACCACATCTACCTACCGGATCAGGGTCTACCCACAACATGGGGGTGTCGTCTCCATGAAATTTTCAAATAAGGCCTCTCAACACCACAATGCCTGTCTGGGAAGTTCCCTCACACTTCAGTGAATTCTATTCATTTGTGCTAAGAAAGTAGTCTGAAGTCCTCAAAGCTGAGCCATCTGCCATGGAGCGAACCTCGATGCAAGCCCATCTGGGGGAAAAGACATCTTTCTCCAACTTCAGGATGCCTCTGCCTATCTGGTTCTCTGTGGCCTGCCAGATGTTCTGGCATACTGTTTGCAAGCTTATTTGGCTAGGATATTGATGGGTAGATGCAGCAGCCTCTTCCACTAACAACTGTCAGTTCAATGATGCTGGATACTCCAGCATCTCCCTCCTTTCAATCATATCCAGGCCAAATCTCGACATTCTGTTAAGTTGAGCTTACTGTGAAGAGGTTCACTCTGTCTCAATGTTCAGACAGCCAGAGGGCTCGACACACAAATCCACTATCAGTTTTGACTGCATTCAATCTGAAGGGTATGCTCCTGCTAATGCAGGTTTCCTATCTGGGGAAACTAGAGAATGCAGATTACCACTCTGAATGAATCCCAAAATAGCTAAGTAGCCATCTACAGTGAAGGCCAGCCCCAGTGAAGCAGGCATGCCTGAGGACATGGGAAGAGGGAGGAGGGCAGCTTCTCAGGTGGCTATCTGGTACAATGCCAGGTTGGGGAGGGAGGGAGTTGGGGGAACTGAGCTGGACACAAAGGAAAAGGAGGGGCTATTTCCAGGCAACAGATTCCCCTAGAGAAGGAACTTTCTAGTGCAAAGAAACCCTCACCAAGCAGGTGAAAGACTGGAAGAAGGAATACTTTGGGGTACTCAAAGAAAGACAGAGGGAAGGAATTAAGAAGGTAAGCCCAGAGACTTACATTGGGGGCCCTGCCCCCAGGGCTGAGCTCACAGCGGTTCCCTGAAGACCTGTAAGGCAGGGTTCAGAATCTGGAACAAGGATCTTGGGAGAGGGACAACTCAATCGATCTCAGCCAGATCTCGTTCTGTTCCAAAAGCTGAGGGCCTGCCGCTTCTTTGGAAGGGGTCAAAACCAAAGCCCCCAACTCTAAATATACCTCCAGCTGCTTGCATTTCTTTTTACAGGGCATCACCAAAATAATAATAATAACAATAATAATAATAATAATGCCTCTATCGATTTAGTAATACTGCAATTAGAACAAAGGAAAGGGATCCAGACCATTGGCCCAAAAGGGAGGAGAGGCACGGATTTAGAAAAGATGCATTTTCTCTCATACAAAAATAGACCATCGTCTCATTAGCAAGGAATAAAATTGGCCATCTTCATATAAAACTAGAAAAGTTGGACAGACATCTCAGAGTCCTCTGGGACAGTGGAGACAGCACGCACGATGCAGGCTGAAGACAGGTGCCGGTCACCAAAGGAGAGGCGTTCCAGGGACTGGTCTCCCAAGGCCCGGGGCCGCAGAAGCATTTTCCAATAGTAAACATGAAGCTGAGCCCTGGGCCTGGGCCCTCTGAGAAGCCATCCAGTGAGATGGCTGGAGAGACGCCTGCTCGACCCATGGGGTTCAGGAGCTGATCCTGTGCAAGGCGCCCAGACAGCTTGCATATAAAGAAGATGCTTTTTAGGCTGGTGACTGGGCCCCCAAAATGCATCCCCCAGTGGTGCCCCCATTCCCTGAGGGGGAAAGCAGAAGAACCAGAGGATCATAAGCAGCCCAACCAGGGGCTGACAACCTGCTACTCACTCAAACCTATGGAAACCATGGAGTTCCCCTGCACGTTTTCCTCTGGAAGTTAATGAGTGAGTTTTCCTTTTATTTATCTACTTTTTGTTAAATAGATACATTTTTCTTTTCTTTAAACTTTCCCCTGTTCCCCACACACCCCAAAAGGGGGAAGCTTGAAATGCCAGTGGCCCAGCAAGAGCCAGTGGAGCCCAGTGGCAGCTCGGGAGCTGCGGCCAGCCACCAGTCCATCCAGGCCCGGCACTCCCCAGCACACAGGTCACTGCCAAGGCTGCAGCTGCCGCTGGTCATACTCTGCTATCAGTTTCTTGATGTGAGCCAGTTTGTTGTGCAGATATTCACAACGGTACTTTTCTTGGCTGTAGTTAGTATTAGTCTGAAAGAGATCAGGGAGAGAATACTAAGAACACCTCGGTGATGGAACCGGGGGGAATTCCCTGGCCATAGAGCAGTCTGGGTCTGGAAGCAGAGAGGACAACAGGCTAGTTGACCACCTCATCCAGGCCTGTACAAGCCCTCAACCCCTTCTGGGCCTCCGAAGGCCCTTCTGGCTCTGGGATTATTCTGAGTCACCAAGTCTCTGAAACTCATTTAACCTCTAAAACAGAGATGATGATGATGATAACAACAGCCAGCATTTAAAGAGAGAGAGAGAGAGCTTTAGAAGTTTGTGAAGCACTTTACATGTGTTATCTCATTTCATCCTGTGAGGTAGGTGCAATTATTACCCCCACTTTACAAATGAGGAAACTGAGGTGTTCAATGAGGTGCCAGGGTCACAAAGGCACTAAATGTCTAGGGTGAGGTTTTGTTTTCATGACACCAAGTCCAGCACAATCATCCATGCACCAACCAGGATAATGCAGACACTCCGCACCTCATCAGATTTTTGCGAGGAAAGTGTCTTCTACGTAGCAGCTATCCAATGTTGATGAATTTAGAGGCCATAGGAAAAGATGTTGTGCATGACTTTACATGTATAATCAATATCATATTGCTTGCCTTCTCAAGGGGTGAGGGAGGGAAGAGAATTCAGAACTGAACATTTAAAAAAATGTTAAAAGTGAATAAATACTGCATTTATTAAAATAAAATTTTAAAAAGTTGAAAGGCCACAGAAAGCCCTAAGGTCCCATGGAAATGGAGATGAGTGACCTTCTCCTCTTAGCTCCATCTGTGAGCCGCACTTTAAGGAACCCTTGAAAACAGACAGTCCTAGCATCTCGGGGCTGGAAAGGGGCTCAGAAGAGATCCTAACATGAGCCCCTGTGTACCCAGTGATACCAGACAAGGGTGTGTGCTAGAAGATTTCTGGTAAAGGAGACTCCCTTGCTCTGAGGCAGGATTCCAGGAATACAAATATGTCTTCTTCTCCTTTTGTCAGGGTAGACAGTAGTATTCTTTATGGCAGAAGAGGAACATGATGGCCAAGGCCACAGCCACCATGTCAGTGGTGGAGCCCTATAACCTGAAATGGGCATTCCCCACCTACCAGTGCACACTCCAGTAGACTCTACTCCTACCAACTATCTTTCACATCTGCTCCCATCCTCAAGGACCGTCTCTTATACCTTCCTTTAGAAGGTCGGGACAGCAAGAAGAGAACTTGCTTAACTTTTCCTTAATTTTCCTGCTATCCCCTTACAAGTCTGGGTCTTTACATAAAACAGACCCTCAGGCAGCAGAAGGAGCTCTTTTTACCAAAGAAACCCTAGTTTCCTCAGAAATTCATGGGGAAAAAAAACCCAATTCTATTTTAATACAGGATTTACAAAACACGGCAAAATTTTATCTCTAAAATGTATAAAATGAGAGATGCTTTGGGCACCTACACATCCAATGACATCTTACGAGATGATTTGGGAGAAGTGGGACAGAGGGAAGGGGTGTGCATAAAGAATAGTCTCAAAATATCACAACAGGGCTCTGTGTGTGTGTGTGTGTGTGTGTGTGTGTGTGTGTGTGTGTAATATGGGGGAAATCAATAAAATGACAGTTTACCTTTCTATGACGCTTTACAGAAGCCCATTACAGCATCATGCAGTGGAAAGACTGGAGGTCAGACCACCTAGATTAGATTCTCAGCTATGCCATTTAATAGCTGTGTGACCTTGAATAAAATACTTCCCCTCTCTGAGCCTCAGTTTCTCTATCTGTAAAATGGAGATAATTATATTTGTACTATCTAACAGGGTGATATTAGTAAAGTTTTTATAAATCTCAACATGTCATATAAATGTGAGAGATTGTTATTATGGAAAAGTCATATTGATATAAGAGCTTAGGGCAGGATTCTTAAACCTTTTTTATGTCACAGACTCTTTTCTCCAAATAAAGCTTTTAAGTGGATAAAAATAAAATAATTATAAAGGAAATCGACTATATTGAAAGAGAGTTGTTAAACTATTTAAAAGCCAGTTCATGGACTTTTAAGCCAGGTTAAGAGCCTCCTGCATTTTGGTGGGAGACTGGGAGTAAGTCTGTGTGGGGAGGGCTATAGGTGTGTTTCATGGGGGAGGTAAAAGAGTAGACAGCAGAGGGCAGCGTGGAGGGATGAGGAGTTCAGGCTCACACTGTGCTCACTGTGCCACTGCTATCTCACAGAAGATATTTACAACCTCTTACTTCTGAGAGTATGTCAGTAAGCAAAAAATTGTGGGCATAAATCACTGCTTACCCTTCTGCTACCAAAGTGCTTTCATGCACTTTCACTTAAGGGATCACAGATCCTCACAATAATCCCAAGGGGAAGGCAAGAACAGGATGATTATCCCCATTTTACAGATGGGGAAACTGAAGTTCAGAAAAAAGGTCAAGGTCATATAGCTAGAAGATGGCCGCCCTGGGTCTTGAGTACCCACCACAAGACTCCATCAAGCTCTCGCTGATCTCTTCCTCCCCGTGACACCATCTTTTCTTCCCTGGAAGGCATACAGCACTTTGAACCTCTCTTCTGTGCTTACGTTCTGGTCTGTATTGAGATGATTCACTTCTGTAACTATCTCATCTCCTCCCTATCACCACCAGCTCACTGAGAATGCCAGGCAAGATGTGCTGTGTCTCAGGCCAAGGCAGCACACACGTGCTGCAGGGCACAGAGTACTGGACTGCTGGTCAGAAGGCCTGAACTTACTTCCTGTGTGACCCCGAGGCCTATTTGTATGTCAAGTTTCCTCACCTGTACAATGAAGGATAATAATCAGATGACCTGTACATGAGAGCCCTGTGTAATCCGTCAGAGTGCCAGACAGATTGTCGTCTTTGGGTATCCCCATCTCTGGATATACTAAGTGCATGCACACGAGGGAGCACGTCTGCTGAAGGGAATACAAAGGGTTTTTTTACCCACCTTTTTGATTTTCCAATATTCTTGTAAAATCTGACCGCGGGTGGTCTGCAGAGAGAAAGAAACCCAAAAGAACGTGAGCCATCGCAACAGCTACATGATGGTGCCCTGCAGCCTTCTGTTCACGAGCGGCCTCAGTCAAGGAACAACGGCAGAAAAGTAATTCCCCCCCTGCCCCGGCTGACCCACTGTTTCCACTTTAAAGTGCACCCTAGGCACAAATGACCAGCTAAAAGACAATCACATAAAGTCAGACCAAGGAGCCCAGGAAAAGAAATCTGAAGGAGGAAAAAGTACACAGCAACTGGAGAGAGGGGCAAGGCAAAACCGGGGAAGCTGGCACTGCTACTCACGAGTCCATCAGGAGATGGACGTCTGGCCAGAAATCCAGCGTAACACGTGCTGGTTGGGGAGGGAAAAAATGAGTTCTGCTATCTTCATTCTCCATGCCCTGCATTTCTTCTCTTAATACCTTTGCTTCCATCATCATTCTCAACACCTAAAATGGCCAGCTCTTTTCTCCACCTCTGCCTGCTAAATTTCCATCAAGCCCACTCCATGCTCTCCCTAGCTCCCTCAACCAGCAGGGATCTCTTCCTTGTCTGATCTGATAGCGCTTCACCTTCTAATTTGCTTCTAGATGTTTCCTGTCATCCCCACTGTACCATAAGCTACTGAAGAGCACTGTCTTACTCGTTTTTTGTCTCCACTCAGTGCCAACAATGGGGCTTTGCACATAACCAGTATTTATTGAACATATGAAATCACTAAGGCCTCTGGGAAAAAAAGCATTTAGCACAGCCGGCATTTCCATAGATTGTCTGACTTAACCAAGGCTTGTGGTTCGTACAAAAGAGCCGGGTTCAGCCACACTTGGCATGTATTAAAGCTTCCAATCGAGGTAACTAACGCTGGGCAAGAAGTCTGAACAGAAGCTACAATTTGCCGGACAATCTGCTAATTGTTCTTCCCTCAGGACCATCAGTAGAGTTTAGTCAACTGAACTGTGGGCCCCTGGCCCTTTTCCTCACATTTCCCAGCACCTACTGTTAATAAGTCAGTTCTCTAAATGTCTAAATGATCCCAATTAAATGGACGGAGAAGTAGTAAATACATAGGGGAACAAATCTGGAACTGAGACAGTCAGTGATACCTCATATTCTTCTGAACCTTGGGAAAGCTGTTTGAGCTCTGCATCCAGTTGTGTGAACCGTCGAGTTATTCTCTCTATCCGTGCGTGCAAATCTCGGTACTCGTTGTATTCAGCGTTAAAATCGTTCTTATAACTTTGACGCTGTTCCGAGGAGGAAATGGCAGCATATTTTCTGAGAAAGGCAGAGACAGAAGTTTTAGCACCGGCTGCAACAGCTAGAGGCAGACAGAACTTCGGGGACAGGAATATCACTTGCTTCAGTGACAGTAGGATCAGCTAGTGAGGGACCTCTAGATCCCTGAAATACTCAGATACTTTTTCTTTTTAAAAGGCAATTTGGGTTAAGTGACTTGCCCAGCCAGTGACACAGCTAGTAAGTGTCAAGTGTTTGGTCTGAGGCTGGATTTGAACTCAGGTCCTCCTGACTCCAGGGCTGGTGTTCTATCCACTACACCACCCAGCTGCCCCTCTCAGATGCTATTTCAATAAGATTATCAATTCCCATTTCTTTAAGTTGGGGAGGATGTACCAGTATTATGTTCAGAGAGGAAGAAACAAGCTAAGAAAGGGAATGTGATTTGCCCAATATTAGGACTTGACTCAAGGCTTCTGATTTCAAATCCAGAGTTCTTTCCACTACACCATGATTCTGTAGCTCTAACACCCACCAACCCCTCCCCCCACACCCCTGTAGCTATAAGCTGTGGCTCGAAACATCCAATTAATCTCATACAGTCAATTTCCTACTTTAAATAGGAGACAAATGCAGAACAGGTTGAACTGCCTAAAATTCATACACATACGCATTTTATGACATTTCCTTCTTCAAAAACTTGCCAATTCTATTGGGAATAGATAGAATTTTACATTTTTCTCTTTCCTACTATGCATGACTACAACATATGCATCTGAACAAGCAGAAATAGGAGAAAACGTGACATCTTAAGTTTCCTGTGCCATTATTTCTTAGGCGAATTTTTTTAAAACCAAATTTGGTCTTAGGGTGAATACAGAAACTGCTCTGTGACAAGAAGCCCACATGAGTGTGACCTAGCTTACATAACCAAATGGATAGTCTGCATGTCTTAGGCTTGTATCAGTTGCACGTTCTCAGACCTGAAAATAACAATGGAAGTTACTCACAATAGATAATCCGGCATTTCCGAAGTTGATGTTGGAACACTAGAATTATTGCATGTTCCATTTAAACCTACAAAGGATAAGAACACTTCATGAAAACAACAGTCTACAAAGCACGATCAGAGCTACACCTTCAGAAATGTATGTGCAAGAACCATTAACAATGCAGAACATTTTGAACATGTGTCTTTATGTTTTGTGACTTGTAAAATGCATAGGGGTAGGATGCAGGACTGGGGGCACTTGAAACTGAGAGACCTGGCTGAAGGTCACTCAAGTAGCAGATACAGAAATTATCTGATGCATTCCACACTCACTCAACTTAGAATCCTAACAAGTCAGAACCAGAAGGGTGCTTAGAATACCGAGTTGGGAAAGCAGAGACTGTCTGTCAGAGCTGGGGGCCTTATAGATGATCTAATTTAACCTCTTCAACTTTGGAGAGGAGAAAACAGACCAAGAGTCAGGTTAAGTCAACAATCATTTATTAAGCTCCTTCTATGAGCCAGGTACTATGTTAAGTGTCGGGTACACAAAATGCAAGCAACTATGTAAAGACAAGGGTAAAGTGGAGATAATCTCAAAATACAGGCGCTGAAATTGAGCAGGACTGGGAAAAGCCTCTTGAAGAAGCAAGGTGATCTGCAAACAATGCAACAGAAAACACTGTCTCCTATTTTTCCACTGATGGGGAATATTGCTGATGTCTATAGCAGTAATTTAAAAAAAAAAAAAAAAGAAAGTCCATTCCTGGTGAACTGCAAAACAAATTAAGACACTCCAGATAGGCAAAGGGAATAATGAATGTGTGACTGCCTCAGATGAAGAGCCAGAGTCACAGTTCAAAGAAAGAGTGCTGAATGATGTTTCATCCCATTTCTGGATGTCATTTTTTCAGTGTTTGGGCCACTCTCATTATCCATAGGAAACATGAACTACACATCCAGAACTGAAATACAAAGTCAATGCTAAAGCTCACAGCTGCTTTTAAAAAATATCAATGAATGAATCCTAACCATGCATAGCCACTATTTCTTTCCCCATTGATGCTTAGAGGATATCAACTTGTTCTTGCTTCCCCTAGAAGACAGGTGATCCTGTGCTGCCATTTGAAAAAACCAGTTAAGTGCAATGTGAGTCCACAATGGACTGAAGGCATGTTAGGAGTAAAGGCAATGTAAGGAAAGTCTACTAACTCCAGCACAGACACTTACACAGGTGCAAGGACCTAATAGGTGCTCTTAAATACCTAGTGCTGAAAGGGACTTTGCAGGTCATAATACTTTCTATTTATACAGTGCTTTAGGTTTGCAAAGCATTTGACCCCAAGACGAACAACTTGCCCAGGGACACAAAGCTTGTGTCACTCGGGCAAGGATCTGAACACAGATCTTCCTTATTCTAGGTCTCGATTTCTATCCACTATACTGCACTCTCATCCCCACTACTTGAAATAGGCATTCTTTCTATAACATTTCCCACAAATAGATAGCCAGTCTTTTCTTGAACACTTCCAGTGACAGGAAACTCACTATCCCCATGAAGCAGGCAACCAGCTCCACTTTTAGAGACTGTTAGGAAACTCTTTTCCATATTCAGTTGAAATCTGTTTCTCCGTAATTTCCTCCCATTAATTCTAGTATTGTCTTCTAGGACCACACAGAACAACTCTGTTCCAACTTCCCTGTGCCAATTCCTCAAAGAGTTGGTAAGAACCATAATGCTCCTCTTCTCCTGGAGCTTTCTGTTCTTCAGGATAAATATCCCCAGCAGGCTCTTTAAGCAATCCTGGTATGGCAGATCATACCATGAGGATGGGTCCCTCCTATTGGTTGATTCCTTCTGGACTAATTCTGGTTTGTCAAAGTATTTTCTAAAATATGGTCTCAGAAGTGAACACCATACTCCAGCTATGGTTTAAGCAGAGCAAAACATGGCAGGATAGTCACCTAACTTGCTATAGACATGGTTCCATTAATGCCATCTAAGAATGTCTGAAGGGTTTGTGGATAACATGTCAAGGTATTGACTCATGCTGGCCTTGCATTTCACCAGTCAAATCAATTAATATTATTAAGCAGGCTAGGCACTGTGTAATCACTGGGGACACAAACAGAGGCCAAAAACAGCCCCCTGCCCTCAAGGCATTCACAATCTAATAGGCGACAAAGGAACAAATATGTACAAACAAGCTATTTACAGGATAAATAGGAAATAATTAAAAGAGGGAAGGCTTCCTGTAGAGAAGGGATTTTAGTTGGAACTTCAAGGGAGCCAGGGAGGTCATTAATTGGAAATGAGGAGGGAGAACATTCCAAGGCACGGGGGACAGAGTGAAAATGCCCAGAGATGAGACATGGAGTATCTTGTTTGTAGAACAGCAAAAATCACTGAATCAAAAAGAAGCCAGGAGAGGTAGGAGGGGAATTGGTTATGAAGGGCTTTGAATGTCAAACAAAGGATTTTGTATTTGATCCAGGAGGCAACAGGCAACCAATGAAATTTGTTGAAACTGGGGGAGAGGGGGGATGTGACATGGTCAGAAAATTAACTTTGGGCTGAATGGAGAATGGATAGGAGTGAGGAAAGACTTGAGACAGGCAGACCCACCTGCAGGCTACTGCAATGATTCAGGCTTGAGGTGATAAGGCCCTGTACCAGACGGGTGGCAGAGTCAGAGGACAGAAGGGGACATATTGGAAAGATAGTGCAGAGGTGGAATTGATAGGCCTTAGCAACAGATTGGAAATGAGGGGTGAGGGCCTATGAACAGGCTGATGTAGCTGGAAATGCGAAACTGGACAGCAGAGATTAAGGCAGGATAGGTAGATTGCCGAACCATCAGCATAAAGATGATAATGAAATCTATGGGAAGTGATGAGAACACCAGGTATGGTGAAAGAGGGAGAAGAAAAGAGGACTCAGGACAGAGCCCTGAGGAACACCTATGGTGAGAGAGCATGATCTGGAGGAGGAAATAAGGACAACACACAGGACAACCACCACAACACACCGTAGGAAGGCCTTTAATTATCATCTCATTTGTTCCTTACAACAACCCCTGGGGGGAGGTACTGCTATTATCTCCACTTTGCAGATGAGGAAACCAAGGCACGCAGAGGTTAAGTTATTAAGTGTCAGAGGCTAAATTTGAACCTCAGTCTTCCTGACTCCAGCAGACAGATGGTAAAGTGGATAAGAGTGCTGAGCTTGAAAAAAGAACCATGAGTTCAAATCTGGCCTCAGACACTTACTAGCTGTGTGACCATTGGCAAGTCAATTTGCCCTATTTGCTTCAGTTTCCTCATGTGTAAAATGAGCTAGAGAAGGAAATGGCAAACCACTCCAGCATCTTTGCCAAGAAAACCCCAGATGGGGTCACAGAGAGTCAGACACAACTGAAACAGTTCAACAACAATTTCTTGGGCTTTATCCACTGTGCCTCTGTTCTAGCAAAGCAGACAGAGAAGGAGCAGTCACAGAGGAAGGAGGAGAACCAGGAGAGCGCAGTGTCCCGAAAACCTAGAGAGGAGAGAGCATGAAGGAAGAGTTATCCACACTGTCAGAGACTGCAGAGAGGTCAAGGAGAATGAGGACAGAGAAAAGGCCATTGGGTCTGGCAACTTGGTAACTTGGATAGAGCAGTTTTGCTGGCATAAGGTCAGAAGCCAAATTGTAAGAAGTTAAGAAGAGAGTGAGAGGAGGGAAAGTGGAAGCACCTAGTGTAGATGGCCTTTTTGAGGAATTTATCCACAAAAGGCAGAAGAGCTAATAGGAAGATAGTTATGTGCTTAAGCACAAGGGGTAGAAAGATCAAGTGAGGGTTTTCTGAGGATGAGGCTGACAAGGGCATGTTTGTAAACAGTAGGAAATGAGCCAAAAATGGAAAGACTGAAAATTAGACATAGAGTCAGGATGACAGAGCGGGGTGATACGTTGGAGACAGGAAGGAATGAGAGCCCCTTAAGCAGGTAGAAGGGTTAGCCTTGGTAAGAAGTAAGGCCATCTTATCATGTGAGACAGGGATGGGGGAGGAGAAGGTAGCAGAAGGCACCTGAGAGTGAGGTGAGATGAGAAGAAGGGGGAGCTCATGGGTGAACGAAGTCGATTTTTTCTATAAAATATGAGAGGTCCACAGCTGAGAAGGGAGGGGACCATGGGAGGTCTGAGGACGGATGATGAGGTTTGGAAGAGGCACTGTGGAGAGAGTGGGAGAGGGAGCTGATATGGTGAGGGCTCAGTTGAGGTTTGTGTAACATAAAACTGTAGCAGACCCAGTCTGTACAGTTGTGTCATTTTCTCCATCTACATCCAATAGCACCTGTGTGTGCAGAGTGGATGGTGGGAAAGATTCAAGGCTGAGGCTTAGCTGGCACAATCATGCCATAAAGGAGAGAAGAGGACAGTGTAGAATTCAATTAGAGAGCTGGGGGTCAAGGCCGCTCAGGAGGTCACAGTGGCTGAAGAGGAAGGTCTCTTAGAGGAAGGTGGGAAGCCAATAGATTATGATCAGCTAAGGGGATTTCAGAAGTCTTCAAGGTGGGAGTGATGCATTTGTGAGTGATGGCAAGAACCAAGGTATGACCATGGGGGGGGGTGCGCGGGGTGGAGGAGTAAGTCCCTGGGAAGTGACTAGATGGAAGAAGTGAGTGGTTAGGATGTTTGATGTGGAGTCAAGACATATGCTGAAGTCCCTTAGTACAAGGGCAGGACCTGGGGAGGAGAAAAAAACTGTAAGCCAGGTATTAAACTCATTGAAGAAGGAAGGGGAGTGACACAGAGGTCTGCAGATAACAGCTACCAGGACTCTGATTGGGTGGTAGACATGAACAATATGGACTTCAAAGGAGGAGAGGTTATGGAGTGAAAGAGGTAGGAGGAAAACCTGGAAGTGGCAGTGTGGGAGCAAACTGTATTCAGAGTGAACAGAGGGGAATGAGTGAATGTACAGCCAGCACTGGAAAGGGTGGGCAGGGAGGCTGTTTCCCTGGGATGGGGGGCCAGGGAGAAGCAGGAAGCCAAGTTTCAGTAAAAACTAGAAGATAAAGGAATGGGAGAAGATAAGATTTAGGATGAAGAGAAGCTTGTTACCTAAGGAATAGGTATTCCAGAAGGCACAATGGAAGGGACAGGGGAGTGACACAGAGGTCTGCAGATAACAGCTACCAGGACTCTGATTGGGTGGTAGACATGAACAATATGGTTTAAACTTTGGGGTAAGAGGGTTGAAGGGGATACAAATAAGAAATCAGAGAATAGGGAATGAGATTTGTATGATGACCTATAAGGGTTCAGAATCACTGGGATTTCTTCATATCAATGATGACACAAATGTTAATTATTATTGCCACCATATTCCCTATTGTGTACTTATGCAGTTTATTTTTTGAACCCAACTGATATTTCATCTTATTGGAATTAGCCCACTAGTACAGACTACTCATTACTGCTTCTAAACTAAACTACAATACAACAACGGGGACTGAGTTCTAAGTTTCTATGACAACTATGGGCCTGCCATTTGGTTTCCTGATTAGTGTAGCAAAGACATGGAAACTTTTTTTCTTTTTTAATTTTTTTGGCTAGGCAATGGGGTTAACTGACTTGCCCAGGGTCACACAGCTAGTGTCATGTGTCTGAGGCCACATTTGAACTCTGGTCCTCCTGACTCCAGGGCTGCTGGCTCTATCCACTGTACCACCTAGCTGCCCCTGGAAATTTTCTTGATTGTAATTTATTAAGGTAAAGGAAGGCATCAGTTCTGTCAGAAAAATCTAACGCTTTTTTCTCTTTCTGTGGCTACAAAGCTCTCCATTTGGTCCCACACACTCACCTACCAATTTTTAAAGATTACAAATCCTTCTCAGCTGGCATAATAATGTTGATAATAACCGACACTGACATGCGTTGTTATACACACATAACATGGGCACCCCCTGGGAAGCAACCCTGGACAATAAGGAAGCAGCTATGAGGAACCACCAAGAACTCCAATTTGCTCTGCAATGTAGAGAAATATGCTTCCCTGACATAAACTAGAGAGGTCTTCACCTCTCTAAATCAAAAGGCATTTCACAGGAACACAGGGATCTCAGTGATAATCTTGTCCACTCACTAAAATGAGGAAAAGACTTGTCCACGATCAAACATATTACGTAAGGAACAGAGACACAGGACACACCTAGGTCTTCTGACTCCAAATCCAGGACTCTATGCTTTTCATAAAGAAGGCGACAGCATTGTACTTAGATGGGAATGGCACTTGGGAGTACCAGTTTTGGCACTACAGGTTTACAGACTATCAGAACTGGGGCCACAGATATCAACTAGTTCAATCACCTCATTTTACAGATGAAGCAGGATCCCCGAGCTGGAACCAGAAACAAAGTTTCCCAACTCTCCTAGGGCTCCTACTCTTACAATGTTTGCCAGGAGGGCTCTACCTCAAAAACCATTCTCCCACACATTCTATTAACTGGAGATTCATTTGGGCAAATAACCTCCTCTTTTGAGATGCTAGTATTTTCTGAAAAGTTTAAGTCTTCCTACGTGTGTCTGTGCCAAATGCATGGGAATGTACATATTACTGTATCTTCAGGAAGAGGAAATTGATTCAATCAACAAACATTTATTAAGTACCTATCACATGCCAAGCCCTGAGCTAATACCAAGATAACGGCAAGCAAGGGATGGTCTCCAGAAGCTTCCATGCACATATATAAACGAATACAGAAACCTACACAAATGAAATACAAGGTAAGGGGAGAGGTAACTAACAAGTTGGGGGGTGGGGAGGAAGAGGTCAGGAAAGGCCTTCTGGAGGATGTGGCCCTGGAGCTGATTCTGAAGAGGATCAAAGACACACAGAGAGACCTGGGACAAAATGTCAGGGGTGAAGAGTGGCAAGCAGGCCAATGTGGCTGGAGCCCAGAACGACGGGGTCTGGAAAGGCATGCCAGACTGTAGGTGAGCGAAATGTGAAAAGGGCAAAGAAGAGAAGCAGCAGATCCATCACATGGCTCGGCCTCTGGCTCACAGAGGCGACTGGGGCTCCTACTCCTCCACTCTTTAAAAACTCAACAGCTTCTTTGGACTGTCCAGTACCCTTCAGAACCCATTTCTTTCACAGATTCAGAGAGACTCAGAGCTTGAAGGAAATCAAATTCAGCACAAAACTGAGCAAATGTGTCTGTACAACATCCTTGACAAGTGGTCCAGTGAGAGTGACTATACCACCTCCTAAAGGCTGCCCATTCCACTTTCCGGCAGCTCTGAACGTTCAGCATCTTTTTCTTAAAGGGATCAAGAATCTACTTGTCTCAACTGCCATCCACTGCTCTCAGTTTAGCCCTCTGGAGCAACAGAAAATTATTAAGCCTTTTCTCATCAGGTCCTTGAAGACAGTGATTATGTAAAACACACAATATCTTCTCTTCAAGCTAAATATCCCTTCTGTCCTGCCCCTGCATGGCCTGGTTTCTAGTCTCACCATCTTGGTTCACCCTACTCGGGAACTCTGAGAAGGATCCAACACTGGAGGTCAGTTCTGACCCGGCTGGAAGGTAGCCAAGCAATTCCCTCCCAGCTTCTGCGTCTGAGATCCCAACAGTTTTTGGAGGACCACATGGCATTGCTGACTCACACACCAGGCCTGCAGCCCACTGACATCCCCATGCCTTTTTTTACATCACTTGTTACTCAGCCATCCTGATGCTTTTACAGGTGACTTTCTGAGCCCCAGGATAGAACTTCCTGAAGCCCTCTTGTGACCTTTTCTGGTTCTCGTCATCACAAACGTTAGCCTCCCAGTTCAGACTCCACAGTCTAGGGCTATTACAAACACAGAGGAAAACCTAGTAACTAAAGCCATCCAACAACAGACCAGGCTGCCTTGGGTGAGACAGGTAACAAGTCCTCTGGAACTGGTGGTCCTCAAGTGAAGGCTGAATAAACACTGGCTAGGGAGCAACCTGAAAAAAGTATTCATGTTTTAGGGTTGGACTAGATGCTTTCAGGTCCCCATCCAAGTCCAAGAGGCTGATTCATTCCATATCTTCTCTTCTTCCCAACAGACCTGGCAACGGTTATTGTCACTTTCCCCATATCCCCCTGATCATGGCAGAGAGAACAGCCATTATAATTTTTCCAGGAAGATAAAACTTTAGCAACTCCGGTTACAGGATCATAGGATTTAGAACTAGAAGGAACCTTACAGAAAATCTAATGCAACTCTGTCATTTTATAGAGAAGGGAGCTGATCCCCAGAAAAGTTAAGCAAGGTCACAAAATGGATATACCAGAGGCAGAATTCAAAATCTAGGCCTTGCTTCCAAAAACACACTCAGTGCCCTTTTCTACTATACTGTGTGTGTTATAGCTTCCAGTTCTAAATCAAATCATTTGGATTACCAAGGAGCCCCATTAGTTGCATATCCTGATCCAGGCTCTCAAGAGAAATGTTACCCATGGCCAGTGTTGGCACAGAAAGTTTGGGAAGGAATGATATGATGTGTCTGTACATGACATGATGACATTTTACAGTCACTGAGCCCTCTTTCCCCACTGGTCCCCAAGGCCAACAGCCTGCCCACTGGACACCTACCTGTGCCTTCCTGCAGAGCCCCACTCATCTTAGTATCGGAGTTCTTCATGAGTTCACAGTCCTGCTTCTCTTCTCTATGTTTCTCCTCACTTCGCTTCTCCTTTTCTTTGTGCTTTTTGGATTTCTTCTTGGTTTTCATATGCCATGAGGCACAACTGTGTTTGCTGGTCTGGGGACAGTCTGTCAGCAGAGGGAGACTGAGGCTCTCAGAGGCCTCGGCATTCTCACAGTCTCTGCCATTGTGACATATGTCATTGCTGACATCAGTGAGGGGGTCGTGAGGCTGGGGGAGCTCCAGGCCAGGGAGGTGGGAGCTAGAGCTGACTGAATTGGCCACAGAAGCTGGACCAGGAGCAGAAGGGACTTCCTTCCCATTAGAAGAGTTCAGTTTCCCATTGAAAGTGGGCTGAGTTCTTTGAGTACAATGAGATATCCTTGGCTTCTTATTTGCCAGCGGGTCAATGAAATCCAGTGGCTGAGATCGTTTCTGAGAACAAAGAAAGTTTCTTTTAAAAAAAAATAGAAGATTTAGTAGAGTAGCAGACATTGTAGATAATGCTAGATTCCAACAGGTTCTTATCAGCTCAAAGAATGTTAACTCAGGAAGGGACCTTAGGGAGATCTAATCTAATAGTTCCCAAACTTTTGGAGTATTTTTTAAACTCTCAAAAGATTCAGTGGACCATCCACCACGAGAGCAGTTGACATTCATCTGGTGACTGAGAAAATGCATGTTGACAAAAAGCTACTGTGAATCTCAGTAACATTTTAAAATGAACTTGCATTTTAATAATAGCACACATTTGAAAGATAGTAATACCCATATGCAAGGTGTTATTTGGCCTACCAGAGGTATGGCTGTTTATTTATCCTACAGAGTTATTGAATGAGATGTCGGGCACCTTGGTGGTTCTCAGTCTGTAGTCTTCCTCCTCATCTAAGGATTAAAAGTGGAAGCCACTCCTTGCTATTATTTTGGAGAATCCCTGCTTGCAAGTCTCCACGGTGCCACAAGGTGGCACTGTAACATAGTGTTGGTAGCTTAGGAAATAGGATTCAACAGGTGCTCAGCACAGATGAATCAGCTCAACTACTGGAGCTCAAAACTGTTATTGAATTATACTCTATCCTCACTTAACTGCCACCCTGTCACCACTGCCACAGATGCGGACTGGGCACTGACTGGGTCTCAAAGCACAGAGAGAAATCAGGTGAGAGACTGGTTTTTGAAAAAACACTCCAGGGATCATGTGGACAGAAACCAGGCCTTCCCCCCTTGCCCATCTGCCCTTGCTTCCCCTCCAGATTCTGTCCACAATCTAAAGAAAGGCCCCCAGTGAGCAGGAGAGGACTGTGTCCTGAAGTGTTGCTGCTGAGCACAGTTCAGATGGTGAGACCAGACCGAGGCCTTTTCTGATCTGCACAATGGCCAATGAGCTGGCTACTGATGAAAAAGGGAGGGGATGGTAGTCCACACACCTGCACTTGTTCATAAAAAGAAATGCTCAGAGAAAGTAACTGCTTAGCAAACGTACAGCATGGGTTGGGTGAGGGTCACTCTCACAGACTAGAACACAAAATCACCCAAAAAGGAAAAGCAAGCTCTGCTCTGTCTTTGGGCAGCCACTTATCTCACAGCAGAGATGGGCACAGCTCAGTAAGATGGACAGACTCCTTGTCATTAATAAGCAGCCCTGCTGTTGAGGATGAAGTCAATACAAAGAAGATTCACTATGAATAGAAACTGAGCGTCTGAGTTTGAATGATTAGTTGTTTGAATATTGTTGGAATCTTCATCTTTACAAAGCACGTCTGGATTTAGGAAATCTATTTCAAAGCAAAAGGAATCAAGGGCAAGAAGTTCCTCTTTCCAGGACAATGCTTTCCCTACTGCTGGCCCTGAGGGATAAAGAGTAATCGCAAGGACAAAGCTAATTTATCTCTGATCATACCACTAGTCTGACTGCCAGGCACTCCCATGTCTAATGGAGGTGTGAGAAGGAATACAGCAATACCCTGGTGCCGCCTCATTCTGGGCTCCAGTGGCGAGAGGGCACAACATGAAGCTTCTCAGCATGACTGAGCTCTATCTAGACTGGCGTGAAGGCTTCAGAAGTGGCCTGACATCAACCAAGGGCACCTCAGTCGTTGGCACAGGCCCCAAGTTGTAATTCAGAGCTAGAATCAATCATCACAGTAGGCCCACTTCTTCATTTTTACCAGCAAAAGCCTTCATACACCGCTTGACAGGACATCAAGAAGGGCAGCAGGGCCAAAGGTGTAGAGCAAACTGCTACGATTCAAATCCATGTGTGCTCTGCCTGGTTGGACAGCACTGCCACACCCTTATGGATGAAGCCAGACCGAACCCAAATTCCACATGGGATGAGCTGGGACAAAGGTACTACACGGATCCAATTTGGAAGAGAGCAATCAATGACACATGAAAGGCTAATTACCTGCTCCTCCCAAAAGGGATCACTTTAGACTATGGGAAATGAATGTGCAAAATTTGGGGATGAGAAGAGCAGAAAGTAAAGGGACTGATAAGTTATCCAGGATCTTTTGTCTATATGAGAAAACAGGAAAGACCCCAGAAAAAGACCAACCAAAAAAATGCTAACCAAGGAAAGGAAAGCCCACAAGACAATCCCTACCTCATTTCAGGACCATATATGTAAATACTAATTGGAAAGTTCTAGTCAGCTAGGACCGTAGCATGACTTGAACAAAAGACTAATTATTCATATCAACAGTGTCATCTGACCCTGGTCCAGTGGTCCTGCATCACAACTCGTACACTGTTAGCAGTATGTGTTAAAAACAAACAAAAACGACCCTTATCAAGGAGGGTTGGGGAAGGCAATATCTGGTGTACAACAGAAGGTCAACTATAATCCAAAAACTAATATCTAAAACTCTGTCAGTCTTTCCATGTGTGAACAGCTGCAGATGCCAAGAAACTTCTCCCTGGAAGTTTAGCAAGCACCACAGCAATGATGTGTATTTTACAGCTATAAAGGATCTGTGAGATACTCTAGTCCACTGCTTAATTTTACAAGGGGACGGTGGTGTTGGAAAGGAGCTGAAGCCTAGAGAGGGGAAGAGACTTGCTCAAAGTACAAAGCTAGTTAGGAGCAGACATGGGTTCTAGTCCCATGTCTCCTAACTTCAAGTTCAGATTTGGGAACAGCAAAATTTCTTTTTCTCCTCTCCCTTTTTCCCCCAGCAATAAATGCTAAGTTAACTGGAATAGTATCCATTTTCCAAAGTACTTTGTGTTCACCATTCTGGGAACCAGCAGAAATTATAACTATTTTATAGACATAAACTGAGGGCCAGAGAAGCTAAGTTCACAAGTTAGTTAGTGAAATCAGAACTGAACTCTTCCAGAATCCCAGCCCAGATCTTTGTAACAACATCAACAACATATAACACAAAACTGAAACCTCAAGGTTGTCGGTGCTTCTGGTTAAAAAAAAGGGAAGATTATCTATGGTTCTGGTAGTATATCAATAGTTTGCAAGACTTCCTCAGATCCTCTTCTGACTCAAGAGTCTAGCAACAATGGGTGCTCAAGAGAGAAGCAGGGTCACCGTCTCACTCGTGATTTCCATTCTTTGGATGGGGACCTTCCACCGAGAAAGTGAGTCAAATTCATGACCAAGGAAACAACGGTACTATCACTGGGCTGACTTCCATTTCCATTCTTCCCTTCGCTACATCTAGTCTAAGCTCTTGCCAAACTACATGACTCACTGTACTCCCTGCTTTCTATCCCGCCCTCTCTAAAAGCATTTATGCCTTTGGCTCACATATCTTCTTGGAATGAACTGTCTATTCCATCACCATTGGCTTACGTAGATTCATCCTTTCCTTCAAGATTCAATTTGGATGCCGCTTTGACACTTTCCCTGGCCTCCTCAGATAAAAGTAGTTTCTAATTTAGCTAATTTCTCTTCTAATTTCTCACAGCACTCTACCTTCCTCTCTTGTGTTCCTATCCCTTTATTTCCACTTTACTGGAAAACAGGATAGTGTCATGAAAAGAACCGTGGACTTGGGGGTCAGAAAACCTAGAATCAAATCCAGAGCATGCCATTCAACAACTATGTGACCATCATAGCTACTTAGCCTTTTTAAAACTCACTTTCTCCATCTGTATAATGATGAGACTGAACTCAATTCAGCAAACATTTATCAAGTGCTTATTATATGCAAGGGTTGTAACGAGATAGGTAAAGAGAACAAAAGTAACTCTATTCTTACCATCAAGGTACTTACATAATAAAGGGAATTTTTTTTTTTGCAAAGGAGAAAAGGGGGGGTGGGGGTGGAGGTGGGGCATTACTTCACAGAGTCAAGTGGCAACAGAGCTGATTCTAAGAGGCAGAGGTAAAGAGGAAGAGAACGCACTTGGAGAATGTGGGACAGCTTGTGTGCATGATGGCATGGAGATGGAACAGCTAACAGTCTAATATAGTAGGAACAGAATATCTAAAAGGAAGTTCTATGAAATAAAGTTGGAGCCAGGCTATGGAGGCTTGAATGGTGCTCTCCCAGAAAAACCTGGGAAACACTGCAGACTGTTAAACATGGTAGTGAAAACGGTCAAATAACAACACTACTGACAAAGGTCTGGCTCACAGGCCTGCCAGCAAAATGAACTTTGTAAACTTTCACATCTATCAATGAACAAACATTTATCAATAAACAAACAGGGCCTAATCTATGCCAGGACCTGTGCTAGAAAAGGAGGCCAACAAAGCCCCTGAATTCCAGAAGCGTGCTGATATTCTGTTGGGGCAGATGACATATTCAGCTGTATAGAACACACTAAGAGATATACAAAAATGCCACATTAACACAACCTAACCTTTTTTTTTTGGAGGGGGAGAGTTACTAAAAGCTATGCAGATCAGGAAAGGTTCTAGGAAGATGATTTCATAGTGGCTGAAGTGAGTTTGAAGCAAATGAGGGATTTTAAGAAGCCAGGTAAGGAGGGAAAGAGTCTGGGTATAAGGAGAGTTGTTGCCAAGGCACAGTGGTGGTCTGATGGAGTGGTGCTTGTATGAGAGGAACAAGAAGTCGGCCAGTTTGGCTAGACTGCATAGTCTGTGAAGCAGAATAACATAAATAAGGCTAGAAAGGTTGGTTGGTGCTAGTTATGAAGTCTTTACCCTCCATCACTCTAGAGCAGTTCATAATCTGAGTAATAAGGTAACCGGAGAAGGACCTGGTTAGCCCTGTGCTACAGAAACATACACCACTATCATATAAATATGAGACAAAGTTCTCTGAGCCTAAGGACCATTTCTATCATTTTTTTATTTCTGTCTCTCCTCAATTTCCAAGCTCCTTATCTCATACACAGTGATTACTTAGTAGATGTTTATCTAATGTTACATGAATTTGGTTCTGCTGGGTTCTGTGGTCAAAAATGGGCCTGAGACTTGTGTGGAGACTAAGAGTTCAATTCAACATACATTAATTAAGTACCTACTCTGCTGCAAAAGAAACAGAACAGAGTAGTGGACTGGACAAAGGGTAGAAACTGTAGGTTAAAGTCCTGTCTGAAACATACTAGCTATGCGGTCATTTGCAAACATTCTTTCTCATCCACCATATCCAATCTGTAGCCAAGGCCTACTGATTTCACTTTTGCAGCATCTCTTGAATATGCCCCGCTTCTCTTCTCTGACACTGTTACCCCTCTAGTGCAGATCCTCATCATCTCACCCCTGGACTACTGCAATACCCTGCTGGAGGGTCTATCTGCCTCAAGTCTCTCCCCGCTTCAAACCATTCTCTATTCTGCTGGCAAATTTATCTTTAACAGAAGATCATATCATATCACCCCACTAGTCATTAAACTCGAGTGGCTCCCTAGCACCCCTAGGATCACATCTAAAATGCTTTGCTTGGGGGTTCAAAGCCCTTCACAGTCTCCAGGCTTAACTTGGAAGTTGTACCAGGCAAACTCTCTAAGTCACAGATAAAATTGGTGTGGATAATTTCCATAAAGGGAGTCACCTAAAGCTATGAAATTTTCAGTCCGGATGGGGAAAAAATGTGAAACAAAGAACAGATTTTTCTTTTTAAAGGAAGTTATCCTTAAAAAGAAAAAAAAAAGCTAACAGGCAAGTACACACTTCAATGAACTTAATTAGTAGGGTCATGTTGATTTTAGTCATATACTCTGTAAGTACTAACAAGAAGCTCCAGAATCCACCAAGCCCAAATACCACCAGTGAATGCTCCAGCTAGCTGCGTTATTTTCCCTCCCCACTGGGCTATGAACTTCTTGAGAGAAGCCGAGCCTTATCTAATTCTGCATCTCTCTCAGCCACACTAAGGGCTTAACACATCAGTGCTGAAGGGATAATTTCAGCACCATAGGAATCTGTTGGTCCCTCCGTGTTTTCCACTTCAAACATCCAACTGTACCTAGTACAGCTTAAGCATTTCATTGCCACTGTGGCCAAAATCTCTGAAAACTGGTCATCATTTATATGGCCATTCTGCAACTATGTCGGATCACAGTCACTGTCGTACATTCAGACTACAGTAACAGTTCAATTAGCACAGACTGCTAGAAATGAACTCAGATTTCACTTTCTGACATGACCTGACGAAGGTACTGTTTACAAAAGCTTTTCTAATTAAGGAAAGTACAAAGATTTCAAAGGTCCATGGGAAACCCTATGCCAGAAATAATAGCTCACATTTATACAGAACTTTACAAGAAAAAAATAAAGCAGTTTATATACATTATTTTTTGTGATTTTAACAATCTTATGAGATCTATATTACAGGACATATTATTACCATTTCAGAGATAAGGAAACCGAGTCTTGGAGAGATTAAATGACAATTTGTTCAAGGTCATCTAATCCAGGTGATCTAGTTCCAAATCCAGTGGTCTTTACCATAACTACTTTACTTACACTTACAATTTAGTGTCTGAAGGTTCATGAAGTATTTTACATACAATACTGCTTTGGAGCCAGAGAAGATTAGTGACCATGTCACCCCCTCCCGGCTCTGGAGCTAACAGCTCTTTCTGAAGCTGACTCCAGATTCAGTTCTCCATTTTTCTCTAGCCCTTCAGGTCACCTACCTGAGGAGGCGATGAGGAATTCAAAGGGTCTTTCGGTGGTGGACTTGAGGAAGGTGTGTCTCCAGGAACACTACCTACGTTCTGTGGCTGACAGAGTTTCCTGAAAAGCAAAGTTATACATGGTTTAAAGAAAGCATCCTTTGTCAGAAGGTAAGATGAGCTTTGAGCTTGGCCTTGATACATGCTAAAAGCTGAGGATTCCTGGGTGCATCAGCTGACTGCCTATCTCTTAAATCTAATTTTCCTGAATGATTACGAAGGAAAAAACATATGCCTCTGGACTCTGGCTAACTATTTTCAATTCAGGGTGGCCGAAGGAGAAATCAGGCATCGGGAGCAGGTGGTTTTTTTGAAGCACTCAACAGACAATGAAAAAGCCTCTGGTTTGCTGGGGTCCTCCCAACACAGGGCCTGGGTCTGTGATTTTGCTGACACAGGGAATGCTCAGGTATGGAGATTCCCTCTACTAATGTAGACCAACACCTTTTCTGCACCTTACCAATCTTGGCACAAGTTAAGTGATTTGTTTGGGTGATACAGCCGGTGCGTGTCAGAACCCAGGTTGTCTTCCTGTCTCTGGGGCCAGCTCTCTAACCACCATGACACACTGCCTCTCTCAAGAATTAAGTGAATTAACATTGAACTCATACAACATTTAATTAACATTAACTAATCCAATACAACCAGATTAATAAATTCACCTCCTCACTCCTCTAGTCTAAATCTCTGGGCTTTTTACTGAAGGATCACAGAGGGATCTTTAAAGGAGAAGGTCCAGTGACAGGGGTACAAGTTAGTTCTCTTCTCTCATCATTCTAACCAGAGTGGAAAACTTCCTTGATCTGCCCAAACCATCATGTGGGGGGAAAAAAATCCGTTAATCATTACAATGATTTCTACAGCTCTTCAAATTACAGGATGCACACAGAAAAGTTTTAAGGAGCATTTTTGTCCACATCACTGTATAAATCCCCTCACAGGGGACCAACTTAATGTGTTGGAGGCCTTTCTATGCTTCTTTTAATTTCTTCTTTATCTTCTATTATTTTTCTTTTTCAGTACCACCAGTACAGAATTCATTCTTCCCATGACGGCTCAACTTCCTGTCTGGCCAATTCTACTCTGGACGGTGGTTTGTAAACCTCTCCTCATGGCTGACAGTATGCGGCACTCTCCTCAGATATTTTGCCTAAGCATCAGGTGCCTCTTCAGTAAAATTGAGAGCTTAGATTAGATGGTTCCTAAGCTCATTTTCATCTCTATGATATAGCATGGTCTATAAGAGACTGTGTAAAAGAAAAACCAAAGAAAAGAGTAAGTCATTTTACAACAATTGATCTTAGGGGCAGCTAAGTGACACAGTGGATAGAGCACCAGCCCTGAATTCAGGAGGACCTGAGTTCTAATCTGGTCTCAGACACATAACACTTACTAGCTGTGTGACCCTGGGCAAGTCACTTAACTAGCCTATCCAAAATTAAAAAAAAAAAAACCTAACAACAACAACAACAATTGATCTTAGTCATCGGGGTGTCGAAAAAGAGATAATGATAGACCAGAGAAAAAGGAAGGGTGCTCACCCCTGTGCTACATTAGGAATACAAATTCTTAACAGAAATAATGCTATTACTCCTATAATAATGCACTTCAAATATTTACTATTTAAATTTTATTTAATTTTGAATTTAAATGTAATATTTAAATACTTTAAAAAATAGAGCTTTAAGGTTTGTAAGCTTTATATACATCATCTCATCATTAGATCCTCAGTGCCTGAGGTTAGGTGCTAGAGGTATTGATCTATCCATTTTATAGATGATGAGCCTGATGCTGGATTCAAATCTAAAGCTCCCTGACTCAAGCCTACTACTCTATTCGCTTTCCTATGCTTCCTTAAGAAGTAAGAGGAGCAAGTATAAGAAAGGTTTAAAGAACCTAAAGTGTGGCAGAATAAAAGGATCTTGGGGTTTTTTCTAGTGGTCTACAAGTACCTTTACCTCAGCCTGTTCCATCACCTGTAAAATAAAGGGGCTAGACTAAATGTCAACAAAGTTGCTTCCAGCTCTGGTACTCAATCTGTACACCGATGGCTCTGAAACAAGAAAAAAGGGCTTTGCAGCAAGGACCCAGAAATCACTAGATGAACAGCTCAGCTTCAAGGAAGAGCAACGAAGCCCCTTTCTCTACTTCTGAAGCAAGTCTGCATTTGCACAGCAGAAAGATATTCTTTCAGGGTCCTATTTTGGGTTTACTGCCCTAACTAAATGCCATGATTTCAGACGACACAGTAAACATAGAAGAATCAACTTCTTTTTTTTAACCAGACAGACTGTGTGGACAGTTGTAATTTTCCAGTTAGGTTATAATTCAGGGCACTGAGTATGTTTAAATTAGTTACAACAGCCCAGTTTTCATTTTCCTAAGGATTGCCAAAGAGACTCTAATACTGCAAATGACGCTGGTCTATAACAGTGTCTCATCTCTAAGCCAAACTGTGCTTTCAGATCATGGAAATTGTTCAAACACAAAGAACAGCATTCTGAGTTGGCCAAAAATCACGAGAAAAGTGAGTCTGGAGAAAGTAAAAAGTCAAATTTCCACCTAACACAGACACTTTAAATTGGTTCTTGCTGGGACTGAGAGAGAAAATACCCGCCCCTGTGGCTGCAGATTCCCAGAAGCCTTTGCACTGACTACACTTGTCTGAAGTTCTTGGGCATAAGTCTCAGGTATTTTGTAATCAGAGGGAAGCTTTGCAACAGAGTGGGAGCCTTTGCAAAGAAAACCTGAGGCACAAACAAAGCCAATGCATCCAAGATTAGGAGGGAAATAGAAAACTGGGAAAGAATTTTTACAACCAGTGTCTCTGATGAAGGCCTCATTTCTAAAATATATGGAGAATTGAGTCAAATTGATAAGAATACAGGTCATTCCCCAATTGATAAATGGTCAAAGGATATGAACAGGCAGTTTTCAGAGAAAGAAACTACAGCTATCTATAGTCACATAAAAAATGCTCTAAATCACTATTGATTAGAGAAATACAAATCAAAATGACTCTGAGGTACCACATCACACCGATCAGATTGGCTATCATGACAAAAAAGGAAAATGATAAATTCTGAAGAAAATATGGAGAAATTGGAACATTAATGCATTGCTGGTGGACTTGTGAAGTATCCAACCATTTTGGAGAGCCATTTGAAATTATACACAGAGGGCTATAAAATTGTGTATAGCCTTTGATCCAGCAATATCACTGTCAGGTCTGTATCCCAAAGAGATCATAAAAATGAGAAAAGGACCCACATGTACAAAAATATTTATATCAGCTCTTTTTGTGGTGGCAAAGAATTGGAAATTGAGGGGATGCCCATCAATTGGGGAATGGCTGAACAAGTTCTGGGATATGAATGTAATGGAATACTATTGTGCTATAAGAAATGATGAGCAGGTGGACTTCAGAAAAACCTGGAAGGACTTGTATGGACTGATGCTGAGTGAAGTGAGCAGAACCAGGAGAACGCTGTACACAGTAACAGCCACAATGTGTGATGACTAACTTTGGTAGCCTTAGCTCTTCTCAGCAATGCAAGGATCTAAGACAACTCCAAAACACTCACAATGGAAATTGCTATCCACATGCAGAGAAAGAACTATGGAGTCTGAATGCAGACGGAAGTATACTATTTGCTCTCCTTTTCCTTTGTTGTTTTGTTTTATAACTTCATTCTTGTGGTTCCTCCCATCAGTTCTAACTGTTCTCTACATCATGACTAATGAAAAAAATATGCTTATAAGTACAGCTTCTATCAGAATGCACGCCATCTTGGGGTGGGGGTAGTAGGAGGGGGAGAAAATTTTAAACTCAAAAAGCTTATCGAAGTGAACGTTTGAAAACTAAAAATAAATAATCAAGGGGAAAAATAAAATTAAACTTAAAAAATAGAAAAAAGAAAAAAAAAAGAAAACCTGAGGAAACCGTTGCCTCCACAGCCCAGGGCTTCTGTAGACTCTCAGTCCGGTGGATCTCTTGTTTACACCTCCATAGCAGACAGTCATCCAGGCTGTTTCTGGGCCCTTCTCCCCTGCCCCCACTTGAAGACAGCAGTTTGTTAAGAACTACTTTCTCAGAATGAGCCAAAACTTGCCTTCCTGTCCTGCCCACTGTTCCCTATCACTTGCAAGCCGACAAACCCTTCCCCCAATTTGGTAACAAAGCAAAAGTATAAATAAATGATCTGCCTTGTGATCCAGAATTCAAAAGGAAACAATGGCAAAGTGAGGCCCTGGTCTTGTTTGAATAAGAGAGGCTAGTCCAAGTTCTGGTTCTGTTGGGCCATTTTACTCCTACTTGAAAATACCAGTCAATGTCATACCATTTGAGAAAGCTCACTTAAAGATCTCAGGCAAGTCAAAAGATGCGTGACTGTCAAGAGTCTCCCAAGACAGTAAAAGAGAGAGGGGAGGGAGGGAATGAGCACTTACAGAGGGCCTACTCTGTGTTAGGGTAAGTACTTTTTTATAATTATCATCTCATCATATCTTGACAACAATCCTGTGAAGGAGGTGCTGTTATGATCCTCATTTTGCAGATAAGGAAACTGAGGCAGATAAGAGGTTAATCGGCTTGCTCAGGGGTCCCAAAGACACTGAGTGTCTGAGGCTGATCAGGCATGGTGCTCTGTCCACTGAGCCACCAGAAGCTTCAAAAGGAGAAAACTGACCACAAATGCATTATATGATTTACAAAGCATTTTCACATAGATCTCATTTAAACCTTACAACAACCCAATGGGACAATTCCTCATTCTACAAATGGGGAAAGTAAAGCTTAAATAAGGGATGTGACTTATCCAAGGTTACCTATCCAGTAAGTAGGGAAGTCAAATCTATGTCTTCTAAACCAGGGCTCCCCCTCTACCTAGCTCCTCTTCATGGCAAAGTGTGTGTGGGGGGAGGTGCACACGCAGATATTTACAAATATGTCGTTCACACTTTATGCAAAGTCACATTACATATATTCACCTTTACATAAGGAAATCTGAAAGAAATCTGCATTCCAAAAAAAAAACCACCTACATAAACACTTTACTGTACAGTACTGTGCTCTCTTTCCCCACTTATTTCCTTTGACTCACCACTTCATGGCCTCTCAATCCCCCACCAAAAAAAAAACCAACCAAAACCTTTCAAGTTAAAGCAGAAGAATGGACCTGGCCCTGGTGACAGACTCTCATCACCACTGGATCCTGGCTTGAGACCTCCACAGGGAGGAGAAAGGAGACCTGCCCACCCACCTTCACGTCCATCTTCCCTCTGTGTCTGTCTCCAGGCCCCCCACCCTCTCCTGTCTGTGTCCATGTGCAGCCCCAACACGTCTGCCTCCTATGGGTTCTTCCTCTTGGTTGTGGCCAAGCCTCCAAGCGCTCTTGCTTCTCTGTCCCCAGTCCCACCCAGGTCCTTACGCCATGTGCCCGCGCCTTTCCTGCCTCCCTTCCAGGCAGGTAGAGTGAGCACTGTCCGTACTCAACCTCCCTGCTAACGGACACAAAAAAACTTGATCCCAAGCCAGCTTTCAGCAGGGCCGAACAGGATGAACCTTTAACCAGAAAATGTAAAAATTCACAAGGAACGAGAAACAAAGATCTCAGCCTTCTTGCCTCAAAATAGCAGCAGCAGACACTCTGTTTGCTTACTAGAGGACCCAAAGAAATGGGTTCACCCAGAGCAACCTATTAACTTTCATTAGAAACAACTACTGCCTGAAATGGTGGAACAAAGTATTCTGAACAGTTTCCTAGGCTGCCAAATCATTTTCCCTCTCTAACCCCTTGCTGGTAAAATAGTGGCCATAATACTTACACTCATGACCTTGGTAGGCTCGTGGAAGGAAATCCCTCTGTGAACTGTGAGCAATAGAGAGAGATACCTGCTCATGCAAAGGAGGGGATTAAAGAGAATGGCAAGCTTCCATCATTTCAGAGTGATGGGGCTGGCTACGTCCATGCGACGCCCAGGTCATTAACACCCTCAAGTGGTTCTTTTCCCCTTTGCGCAGCTAGCAGGAGCAGCAGCCTCAAGAGAGCAATGGAAGGTGCCCCCCTCTCAAATTCTGCAGGCTCAGTAACTTTCTGTTGACTTCTGACACGAATACAAACATCACAGCCTGGGCCCAGGCCTCTGAAGCCAGTATTTTGCCTATCCTCCTCAGATCTAAATTAAATATAATCTCATTTAAATGGCCAACATGTGGCCTGTGCATTTGAGAGTCTGCTCCACACAGAGGTGCAGGTAACTGAGGAGCACATGCAGAATCCAGTGAGGGCACAGTTCACATGACAGCACCATGAGGGCTGAGGAGGTAGGAGTAAGCCTACATAGTCAAGAGATGATGACACATTATTTGAGTTACCTAACAAGAATTCTTTTTAGTAACTGCTGATCTCCTTCTGAGTATCCACGCCAGTCCTTCTGAACATCCTTGTACATGCAATCTTTTAATGTGTATGTGCTGTCCTTGGCACTCAAGTTGGCAACCTAGAAAAACAGAAGCACTCAGTCAGATGAATGAGAGGTGAGGAGGGGAAACCTCAACAGGGAATCACAAAATCTTGGGGATCATCTAGCCCAATCTAACTCGTTTTCTAGAAAAGGAAAGTAAGGCCCACACTGAAGACATATGACACCCAGAGAGGCTTCTACAGTGTCACTCTCCACTCCTCATTCTCTCCATTATCCATATCAGATTAATAGTCGGCTCCTGCCAATTCTACCTTTGTAACAGCTCTCACATACACCCCCTCCTTCTATCGTCTGACACTGCCCCCACCTAGGTTCAGGCACCCCACACCTGCACTGTTACCCAGGCAGGCTGGCTGGTCTGCCTGCCTCCAGTCCATCCTCCACCCAGCTGTCAGAGTGATCTTCCTTAAGCACACAGGTGTAACCATGCCACACTCAATAAACCTCAGTGGGCTCCCTTATCACCTCTAGGCTCAGATATAAAATCCTCTGGGTTTTATGCTCAAATTCCTTCAGAACTTGGTCCCCCTCACCCCTTTTCAAGCTTCCTATACCTTACTCACCCCCACACACTCCTGGAATCCAGGGACACCAGCTTCCTCACTGTTCTTCACATAAGACATGGCATCTCCCATTTTCATTTGCTGACCCTCACAGCTCTTCCTCTTCATCTCTGCCTTCTGGTCAACTTGGCTCCCTTCAAAGTTCCAGCTAAAATCCTACCTTCTACGAGTTCTTCCCACTACTCATGATCTTTTCCCCAAACCCCTCTCTTTCCAAGCTTCGCTATTACTGTAGAAGACAACACCAGCCACGCAGGCTCAAAACCCAGGGCATCATCCTCAACACCCCCACATCCAATAGACGTCCTACCCTCACTATCTTTGGGACATCTCCCAAATACTCCCTCCTCTCTCCTGACCCTGACACCACTCTAGCGCAGGCCCTCATCAGCTCACTCCTGGACTCTTGCTTGCTGGTGAGTTTTCCTGTCTCAAGCCTCGCCCTGGTCCATCTTCCACTCAGTTGCCAAAGGAATTTTCCCAAAATGAATTTCTCACCACACCACACCACACACACTACCCCCAAATTCAATAAACTCCAGTGGCTCCCTATCACCTCCAGGATCAAACAGGATATACTCTGGTGTTCAAAGTCCTTCATAATTTGTATTCTGCCCTCTCCACCCCCCTACAGACGGCAATCCAGTGGCGCTGGCCTCTCAGCACCCTTCGTACAAGTCCGTCTCGTGGCTCTGGGCATTTTTGCTGCCTGTCTTCTACACCTGGAACGCTCTCCCTCTTGTCTTCCCCGGCTTTTTTCATGTCCCAGTCAAAATTCCATCTTCTACAAGAAGTTTTCTCCAGTCCTCCTTAATCTGTCTCTTTCTTCCCTCTGCTGATTTCTTTTCCAACTTATCCCATATGCAGCTTGTTTCTATATAGTTTTCCTGTATGTTGTCTCCCCTGTTAGCCTCACGAGCACTCAGTCATTTGATAAACATTTACTGAGTGCCTACTATGTATGTGTGCTAGGCAAAAAGAGGAAAGGACAATTCCTACCCTTGAGACAAACTGGTAATTAGGTGGCACCACAGTGCACTGAGCACTGGGCATTTAGTCAGGAAGACCTGAGCTCAAATCTAGCCTCATACACACTCTAGCTGTATGGCCTTAGACAAGTCACTTAGCCTCTGTTTGCCTCAGTTTTATCATCTGTAAAATGGGGATAATAATAGTACCCATCACCCAGGGCTGTTATAAAGATCAAATAAGATAATATTATTTGCAAAGTGATTAGCACAGTACCTGACACGTAGTGAGTACTATGTAAATGTTAGCTATTATTATTATTACTACTAGAAAAACAGAAAATAATTACAAGAGAGAAGGCACTACTAGACTGAAGAGGGGTAGGGGGAAGGCTTCCCGTAGAAGATGGAGTTTTAGTTGGGACTTAAAGGAAGCCAGGAGGGAGAGTGTTCTAAGCATGGGGGACAGAGACAAAATGCCTGGGCCAAGAGATGGAGGGTCTTGTTCGTGGAACAGCCAGAAGACCCGTGTCACTGGAACAAACACTACACGTCGGGGAGGTGTCAGAAGACTGGGAAGGCTGGCTGGAGCTAGGTTATAAAGGACTCTGAATGCCAGAAAGAGCATTTTGTATTTGAACTTGGAGGCAACAGGGAGCCACCGGAATTTACTGAGTGGGGTAGAGATGACACGGTCAGAGCAGCCGAGCAGAGACTGTGTTTCGCCTTCCTCTGTATCCCTAGTACTTAGCATAGCTCCTGGTACGTACACTGGGTGCTTAATCAATGCTTATCGATTTTCAGTTGATGACAGACTCTCTTCACAATTCCACAAGGCAAGTAGCACATTACAAAGATGAAGAAACTGAGGCCTGCAGAAGTTAAGTGGTTTGCTTAAGGCTCCGTATGAGGCAACGGGAAGGAAGAGTCCCTGCAAGTCTCCAGGTGCCGGCAGCGCACCAAGGGCCTCACCTCCTGTTTCTGAAACACACGCCCTGCATTTTCAGTGATCAGCTTTTGTCCCAGTACAGTTTCTTGGAGTGGAGGCCTGTAGACAGAAAGGGCTGTCCCATGCGGAATTCAAGCAAGCACTGTACATTAAATATTTTGGGACAGACAAGTGAACAGCTCCGATCAAGGTTGTCCAATGTCCAGGCAGATCTGGCCACCATAGCAGCAACAAGAAAAGAGATCACAATTCCAGAAGACCCACTTTCTCCCTGATGTTAACCTGACAATCCGTGGAAAGACAAACAACAAGTGCATAGAAGTCTTTGGGGGACATTTCTGCTTAACTGGATATTCTGATGTTGTTGATTAAGACACAACCACAGAATGTAGAAGGCATTTGCCCTTCTGGCGGATGCAAAAGCAAACAAAGTACTGCCATAACAGCTACTGTAGAGAAAAAAGAGGAAGGCCAAGGGTACCCCAAGACTGAGAATTTAATCAGTGACAGAGAGATTCCCCAAACCAAAAGGGACCTTTTTTCTGTTGCATCTCCAACATCCTGCTACTATTCTGTGACTATTCTGTCATAGGAATCACAGAATGCCAACTGGAATAGGCTTCAAAAATGAGTGTGCTAATCTAGCTTCCTCATTTCAAGAGAAGAAGAAATTGAGACTGCCAAGTAAAGAAGTGATTCAATCAAGACCAGAAAGGTGACACAGCGCAGAGTCGGGGTCTGATAACTTGTTTTTTAAAAGTAGCTACTTCAGGGGCAACTAGGTGGCACAGCGGATGGAGCTCCAGCCCTGAAGTCAAGAGGACCTGAGTTTACATCCAGCCTCAGATGCTTGACACTTACTAGCTGTGTGACCCTGGGCAAGTCACTTAACCCCGATTGCCTCACCCTCCCCCCCCCAAAAAAGTAGCTACTTCAGTGTCAGACAGCCAGCAAAGTTTTTTCCTACACTAAGTGATCCCTTTTAAAGAGGTTCTTCTAAAGACTGCCAGGGTTCAAGGGACACTGATTATGGAGGCAGCTTACATTTAGCTTCTAGTTACTAGCACAGGGCCTGTGCAGTGTCTATCCCATCATGGCTCTGCTAGTGTGGCCCCAACTTTCTTACCCAGAAGATAAGTGGGCTCAGAGATCTTGTTGTCTGAGCCTCTCCTTTTACAGAAAGAGACATCAGGCCCAGAAAAGGTAAGGGCCTTGTCCTAGGTCACGCAGTCAGGAAGGAGCAGAGAGGACCTCTGAATTATGTCCAGCTCTGACAACCCAGGTTCCCTAAGTCCTTTCAGGCTCAGATGTCCTATGATTCTAAGTCTCAATTCCAAAAAACCTTCCTTGATAATTATAGCCCATGCAGATCCCCATTTTTTTCTGGATCTCTATGACATTCCCCTCTACGCCACATCTTTCAGAAGATGCTAGATATTTAAGGTAATAATGTGATATCGACTCCCAAAAAGATAAGACCCTTGAAAACAAATTATAAATTTTACACACGCAATTGCTGGCCTACTACATTGTTTTTCTAGACTAAGTAAGAAATCTGCCTTTCAGGAAAGCATTACAGATATCACAATTTGGGATTCCTTGGAAAATAAACCCAACAAATACATTTTGGCTATGGAAGATATTATGCAACTATATCTTCAATTCTTAAACAACTAAATTCTTATTTTAAGAATACTTCATAAGATACAAAATGAGCCTGAGCCAATGCTAGATTTGTTTTGCTTCACCAGACATGTTACAAGGCTTTTTCTTTTTAAATTTTGGGGTGAGAAATGAGAGAAAGGGGCTTGCAATAAAGTTGCCAAAAAAAATTAAGAAATTATTTTATTTGGTGTTTAAGTTCCAAATAAAAACATAATTTTTTTTAAATGATGACTTATTTCACCAACTAAAGCCCAATTAGCTAAAAGATTATTTTCTATTAACAGATAAAAAGTATGGTATAGTAGGCAGGGGGTGGGGTGGTAGGGGGGTGGGGTGTGTGTGTGTGTGTGCGCACACGCGTCACTGCCCTCCATGATAGGTAACATTTGCCTTTCTTCCCTTTCTCACCCCCCTACCATGTTGTCTCTATTCCTGCTCATAACAGGCTCCTCCCTTCCTCAGTGACAGGAGCCTCATTACCCCTTCTCCCACTGCTCCTCCCTCCTTACAGATCCACCCTTGCCATTCTTCCCTCCTCCCCATGCCAGACATTAGAGCTCCAACAGCACTTTGTCTCTCTTTCTCTTGTCTACTTAAGATTCTATCTCACATCAGAGTGATTTAATTAGTATTATGTATCATACCCATCAGATGAGGGAGTGTGTCTTCTTTATTTCTGGATTCCACCACCACATCAGCAGCAGCAGCATGACAAGTGTTTGGAACTAAAAGGAACCCCAGAGTCCAGCGGAGGTAACATTTGAACTCAGGTCCTCTGATTCCAGACCCAACACCCTTTCACCTTCCTTGCCATACTTCTATAGAACCAATATCAAAATAAGTGGCAAGTGACTCCCGACTCTCAAGAGCCTTCTGGGACCACAAACTGAGGGCTGGCAAGAACCACTGAAGCTATCAACTAGTATAACTGCTGCATTTTATAGGTGAGGAAGCTGAGGCCCAAAACAGTTCAGGTAATAAAGCATAAGCGGCAGGGTTTGGGCCCACATCTTGTGACTGGGGAACCCATGCTCTTTATATTGTCCTGGGCTGTCTCTTAAAGGCCACAAGAAGAAGAAGGACCTGGGTTCAAATTCTGTCTCTTTCACATTCTGTATGTGTGGTCACAGATCGCTTCAGCCTCTCAGTCCCCCAGATTCTCAACGGAATGATGTGTGCACAGAGCAGTCAACAAGGCAACTGGAAATGACAGAAAGATGCTGACAGAAGCGCTCTCCTTTGTAAGAGCTGAGGTTTTGTAAGGGAAGCACAGAATGGAAACAACAACGGTGCACATCAAGTGCAAACTGAAGTTCCGGGAACTTCAACAACTGGACATCCTGTCGAAGGGAAGAGGAGGAAGCCGGAACAACCAGCACCGCCCTCAACTGCAATGGCCAAGAGAGGAGATACAACGTGGGACGAACACCACTCTACAACACACAGCCCAGACGCTGCTCTTCTCATTATGGGGGGGGGGCACGCGCCCTTAAAAATCAGGCCCCAAGCCAGGAGCCAGTCCGTTCACTGTACTTAACAGTCAAACTAGGGAGCAGCCCTGATCGTCACACGGCCTTTCCCCCTAACTGTGGGCATTAACAAGCATTCTGGACATACGACAAAAGTCTGGTTGGTATGCTATAAGAGAATCACCACCCAGCCTGCTTCATACTGATCCCAATGAATCCAAAGAGACGTGAACTGACTTCTTAAATCTGTTCCAAGTGAGTTATAAATCTCAGAGATCAAACGCTGAGAAAAGTCTGTTCCACCATCCCTATCCCATCCCAGCTACAACGTTCCTGCCGACACTAACTGTAACCAGAGACTCATTTGTCATCCCAGTCACGTGAAAGGGTGAGACCTGGCCAGCCGGGCCATTTGCAGAGAGGTCAGGCGATACCACAGCCGTCCACAGACTGGACAGACCTGCTCCACACAACACACACCTGCTGCAAGAGGCTGTCCAGCACGTCCTTGTCCTGCTGCAAAAGGCCATCCTTTTGCAACCTCAGGATCAGCTCGGGTTTCCTGTAAGGCTTAAGTGCCAGTAAATGAATGACCCTGTCTCTGAAGGGTTGCTGAGAAATCCCACTACTGCTCTTCTTGATGGCATTGGCAACATTGATTGGCGTTGAGCGCTTCCTTGAGGGAACAGTGTCTGCAGCGGCCGGGGCTGGCTTCCGGAACTGAACCTTTTTGCCTAAAATGAGATTAAACTCAGTTAAATTCAGTGGCATTTGTGGGTTGTTGAAAGAACACTGCCTTTGAGGTCAGGTGACGTGGGTTCAAACAACAATGCTATTTTACTACTAGTGCAGATTTTCTCATCATTAATGTAGAGGAGCTGGGTCAGCTGATCTAAAGTTCCTCCCAACTCTGAACCTCATGAGTCTACGAGTTGAGGGAAGAAGAGGCGATTAGCGCTAAACTCTGATGTTTTGATCACCCGGAAAAATACCATAGTTTTCATCATTCAGAAAAGACACAGAAATGGTGTTAGCAGAGAGAGACATCATCTGAAATTCCTCACACACCTATCAGCAACACATGTAGCCGAAACACACCACTCACCCTAACATTTTCCACCTTATCTCACACTACTTCCCACTGTGTTCTATGATAGTAATAGCATTTATAGAGCACTTCTAAGGTTCACAAAACACCCTGACATATGTTAACGGAGCTGGTCTTCACAACCACCCTGTGAGATAGGTGCTATTATTCCCACTTTATGGATGAGGAAACTGAAGCAGGCAGAAGTTAAGTGACACATATAGGGTCACACAATTAAGTATCTGAAGCTGAATTTGAGCTCAGTTCTCCCTAACCCCAAGCCCAGAGATATAGCCACTGCACCACCTAGTTGCCTCCACAACCCAATCATTTTGGACTACTTAACAAACCAAAACATCCCATCGGTTTCCAAGCTCCATCCATGTCTTCCCTCATCCTCTTTCCAATTCCTCCCTAATGGAGGAATTTTCTGCATCTCCCAACAGGAAGTGATCTCTCCCACATCTGACCTCAGGGCAATCTGGAGTCCCCTCAAGAACTGAAAGTCTAAACTGCCTCCTAGTCACTTCCACATGTGAACTTAAGGAGAGCAACGCCTGAGCTCTTTTAATCCCCTCTCTCTCCCTCCCTTGGTGCCAAACACTCTAAATTACACACAGTGATCAGTGTTTGTTGAATGGAACGAGGTGAAATTTCCAGTAACTATTAAGAGCAGAGATTGCTGCCCCACCCCACCTTCACTTAACAGCTTTACACCTGTCCTATGGGATGAGTTGTGTTTCTTTCAGGAAAAAAGAGGAGTAAATGAAAGTGCCAGAACGGTTCCAGGTGACTTGCTGCTAGGAAGCCTCAAGGGCTTCCCAAGTTCCCCAGCTGCTGATTTCAGCCAGACTGCTGCTTCCACAGATGTCGCTCTACTCAGAACAATGGGGATTAGGCAGGTCTGATTTCTTCCACCTCACTAGTTAATATGAAGACCAACGCAGTTTAAACAGAATTGTGGTTTCTGAAGTGAGGGCCATTTTAAATTTAAACAATTGACTATGATGTTATGAACAATCCTACTTAAGTAAGGAGGCAGTAGAATGCAGTGGAAAGAACACTGGCCTAGATATCAGAAGATCCATGGTCTTGACCACCCTGGATATCACTAAGAGAGAAGGGCAGGAAATAAGCATTTATTAAGTGCCCATTATTTTCCACACACTGTGCTAAGTACTTTACAGATATCTCATTTGATCTTCACAACAACCTTGCGAAGGAGGTACTGTTATTATCACCACTTTATGGCTGAAAAAACTGAGACAAACAGAGGTTAAGTGACTTGCCCAGAGCCTATAAGTGTTTGAGACTACATTTGAACTCGGCTCTTCTAGACTCCAGGCCTATGGCTCTATCCACCACCTTAACTTCCTTTCTGACCTTAGGCAAGGCTTTTAGCACTTCTGAACCTTGGTTTCCTTATCTGTAAAACCCAGAGGTTGGGCAAGGTGACCTCAGAATTTTCTTTTGAAGTCCAAAAGTCCTTGTTCTTTCTTACCTATTTTCTTTCAAATGTATCTTTTCTTTTTCAGATGAACATATAAAAACCATACATGAAGCTCCCCTAGAATCATGTGAATTTGCTCCCCAAAAATTCTGGGACGCCTGTATTAGATCACTTTATGACTTGACTTCTTTCCCCAAAGGTCCCTTATAGAATTTGAGTTCGAAAAGTGGTAAGAGAAATTTCCAGCCCCCATCCTTGGCAGTCTGGTGACAACGAGGAAGGAAGGAAGGAGAAGAACCGCTAAGTGGTCTCTGTGACAACTCCAACATGCCTAGAAACATTTTCATACAACTGGCAGATTCCATTCGAGTACAAAGAGCCAGCATTCTGGCGCCGGGAGTGCAGCCTGTTGTCAAGCTGCTCCTCTGCTCCTCGATAAATCTTCCACGTCTGTGGGCAGAGTCCAGTGCTTGAGGCTGCCACAGGAGAGGCAATGATAACTAAGACACAGTCCCTGGAGGAACTTAGTAAGGGACACAGATTACAGACACTGGTAAATTACCAGGGAAAGGAGAATCAGCACACATGACAAACACTAAGTGCTTCCCAGATCAGGTGAGGAGGGTCTAAGTTCAGCTAAGGAGACTAAAGGCCCGGAAGCTTGGCAATAATTCCACATTTATTTCTTTTAAATCTTCCCATCACTGAAGTCAGATCCTAGTCTCTCTTAAAAACCTAGAAGGTCCAAAGAAGCACTGGAAGACCGTGGGCACTGTCTCTGGTTTGAAGAATCACCATGTGAGGGGCAGCTAGGTGGCGCAGTGGATAGAGCACCGGCCCTGAAGTCACAAGGACCTGAGTTCAAATCCAGCCTCAGACCAAACGCTTGACACTTACCAGCTGTGTGACCCTGGGCAAGTCACTTAACCCTAACTGCCTAAAAATTAAAAAAAATTTAAAAAAGAATCACCACCACCATGTGAGAAGGACCTTGATCAACTAGAGGGTGTCCGAAGGAGGGAAATCACGGTGTTGAAGGACCCTGAGTCCAGGTCACAGAAGATGAGCTGAAAGAACTGGGTAGGTAGAGCGTTTGCCTTCCTTTTGTTGATTATTTCCTATTTATCTGGTATATATCTTGTTTGCATCATCTCCCCCATTAGATTTTAGACTCCTCAAGGGCAGGGACTATCTTTTGCTTCTTTTTAATTCCCAGCATTTAGCACAGTGCCTGGCACTTACTAGACATTTCCTAAATGCTTACTGACTGACTACTAGAAAAGAGAAATTTCAAGAGAGATGTGACAGCAATGATCAAGGATTTGAAAGGCTGTCATGTGGAAAGTGATTCGACTGCTTCTGTTTGGCTCCAGAGCTGATGGTAAAAGTTGCAAATAGGCCAAATTAGGCTTGATGTCAAGAAGGACTTCCTGACATTCAGAGGTGTCCCCAAACGAAGTAGGCTTCCCCTCCCTGAGGGGACAGCCACTGGTCATGTAGGTTATCTGTAGCAGGGATTCCTTTCATATGTGGGGTCAATTAGATAGCTGTTGAGGTCCCTTCCAACGCTTGAGAACCCGTGTTTCTGTGAGATGAAAGGAAAACACACTGTAATCTTTAAAAGCACCAGATAAATGTAAATCCCCTTTGTCATCTTGACCCACGTATGATTCAGACAGCAAGTCATCCAGGCAACTCATTAATACTAGGTGAAGAGCAGTCCACCATCTGCATTTCAGAGGGCCTGTTCTTCCCGGGAGTCCCCTGCTTTGATGCTCTCTTAGGGCAGGACAAATCCATGCACATCCCTGCAAACATCCTGGGTTTTAAGCTCCCAAAGGACATCAGACAGGCTGTCCCTGGATCTTCCCAAAGTTCAGCAGTCTTCCCTCAGGAGGTCCCTGGCTTCCCGAGGCTCCTTCCCGAGCTGTTTTCTTCCCCTCTCACTACAGGTCCTGGAGAAAACTCCATGTCTGTAAACAAGACTGGCTGCAGCAAGAAGCGCCAGCCAAACCCTAAGAACACCCCGCGCTGCCCTGTGTGGACTCTCCCATTAATCACACGCACCATGGAGATGTGCTGGGCCAAGGCTTTTCTCAGTTTGTTGGTTAGTTCTGAAAAAGGGAAGTTGAGAATTGTAACCTTTACACTTTTGTGACTAAGAAAAAAAATCCCATTATTTTCTCCTTTTTCAGGCCCAGAAGTTTCCCGTTTTAGTTGATCTACTTAACTCTTTTTCATTAATACCCCAAAAAGTCTTCTTTCACACACTGTCACACTCAGTTTCTAGCAGTAAGCACAGAAGAATCACGTAACAAAATGGATTCAATGATTTCTAAGATTTCTTTCAACACTAAGACACTGCAAGTCTATGGGAAAAGAAGGGATCTTAGAAAGTCTTGTCATTCTAGAGGTAGCATGACAACAGCTACATAGTGGTTAAGGGCCACCCTTGGGTCAGGAGGGCTTGGGTTAAAATCCTATCTTTGACACATAATGAGGTGGATGACTTTGGGCAAGTTATTCAACTTCTTAGGGCCCCAGGCAACTCTAGAAGAGTCACTGTAAGATCTGGTGACAACAAACTGGATCTACAAAGTGAGTCAGAGTAAGAAGGTGCTGTGCACCTGTGGGACTGGGAGGACAGTGGTACCCTGGACAGCAAACAAGCAATCCTCAGCCCTTCCTACGGTCCAGGTACTGGTCTATGTGCTGACGATAAAAGGAAAAGCAAAAACAGTTGTTGCTTCCAAAGAAGTCACAGCCTAATGGAGACTAACACAAAAATAACTAGAAGCATATCCACCGACTAGATGAAGATGTAGGCACCAGCTGCTGGGGGCCCAGGGAAGGGCCTCCTCAAGAAGGGGGCACTTGAGCTTTGTCTTGTGGAGAAGCCAGGGAAACAGAGGGATGGAAGTGAGGAGGAAGAGTGTTCCAAGAATGGGGGACAGCCAGTGCCAAGGGCATGGAGTTGGGAAGATGGACTATCATGTATAAAAATTATATGCACAAAAATTGACCCTGGAAAGGCAGGAAGGGGCTAGGTGACAAAGACCTTTAAATATCCAACAGAAGAGTTCATAGTTGATCTGGAATAGTGGGGAGTCCCTCAAGTTCAGAGAGCAGAAGGTGACATGAGCAGATCTGTGTTTTAGGAAAATCACTCTGGCAGCTGAGTGAGAAGGATGGTCTGG